GCTATTCTGAATAGTCCGGTTGTCGATGTATTAAACCACTTTTTCAGGTTTTGAAGAAAAGATATTCTTCTTCTCCCTGGTTCTCTTTTTCCAAATACCTTGCCCTGAAGACTGGGTTGTAATATAAATTATAAATGATTCTCAAGTCCCTGTCATCTAACTCCACTTCTTTCAAGATGTTTATAAGTTTATCATGCTTTACTCTATCAAATGCCTTTTTGTAGTCGATATAACAAATATACACATCACAGTTAACATCCCTGGTGCCTCCCTAATAGAGCCTCTCTGGTGCCTAAGGAATCGCGCAATCCAGACTGCATCCATGATACTTGTTCTTCACATTTTTTATATATTCTGCCATGTATCACTCTCAAGAACGTTTTAAGTAAGTGGCTCATTAGGCTAATTGTTCTGTAGTCTTCGCATGTCTTGGCATTTACTTTTTTTGGTATGGTCACGAAGGTCGACTTTAACCAGTTTTGGGGCTATTTTTCCAGTTACGTATATGTTGTTGAATACAGTTGTTATCCATTTTATTCCCTGTTCATCCATAAGTTTTAGGAATTTTGCACAAAACTCATCAGGCCCTACCGCTTTACCATCTTTACTTCTTTTAATAGCTGACGTGGTAATCGATCCAGTTTGGCATTTAGTGTCTTCAATGGTATTCTGCCTTTCATCTGCAAAAGTTACTTCCACATAATTCTTCCAAGTGTCTAGTTTTTCTTCCACAGTTAACAGTGCTTTGCCTTGGTTATCTGCCAAACACCCAACTCTTAGATGTGTATCCTTAGCTATCCTAATAGCTTTTTTGATCTTTTTATCGATTCTTTTGTATAATGACATGTCTTGATCTTTTTTAACTTTCGCCTCTCTTCGCCTAAGAATAAGATGGAAGAGAGGATGTGGCAGAGTGGATCTTTATCATCCACGATTACTTCTTTATTTTTGGTGGTTTGAGAAATTTCTCTCGTATGTCTTTTGAAACTGTATGTAACTTTTCTAGCTCCTGGTCCATTACATCCAATTGAATAACGGTATTCAAATAGTTCTGTATATACCGCTTTATATTATGTTCTGTGTGTTGGTCTTTTAATAGCTTGATGTAGAATATTGGATTGACACTACGTCTAACCTTCTTTAGGTTGAGCCTAATTTTTCCAATCAGTGGGTTATGGTCAGATTTGATATCAACTCCTGGGTATGTCTTGACTGATATTATGCTGTTCCGGAATCTTTTATTAATCAGAATCTAATCTATTTGATTTCTCACTATGCGGCCTGGAGTATCTTGAGGTGATTTCCATGTATATAATCTTCTGTGTGGGAGTTTGAAGTAAGTGTTACTAATCACAAACTCTTCTTCTGTTATAAATTTACCCAGTCGGTCTCCTCGCTCATTTCTTTCTCCAAGTCCAAATTGTCCTATGAATTCTCCCGATTGTCCCCTATCATTTGGCATTTAAATCACCCATAATCAAAGATAAAATTTTTTTGGGGAGGCCTTTTAAGGTGTTCGATAGTTCGTTTTAAAATGCTTCACTTATCTCGTCCGGTTTTTCAGCTTAGGGGCATATACCTGGTTAATGTCAGATGTAATTGGGTAGGTATTAAGTTGAAAGAGGAGTGTTCTTTCCGATATAGGTACAAAGTTTTTGACATGTCTGGCAGTTTCTTGATTTAAGATTATACCTATCCCATTTTCATGTCTTCCATTAGGGTTACCTGAGTAATATATATGATAATCATTAATTTTACATTATCCAGAGTTTGTCCATCTCGTCTCACTTATTCCCATTATGTCTATTGATGGTCTTTTCATCTCCTTGATTGCATGATGAGTCTTGCTTGCCTCATATAATGTTTTAACATTCCATGTGCAGATCGTGAGGTTTATCTTTTCAATATTAAAATACATGATCATATTTATTACATTTTTTGTTTCTAGTTCAGTTGAATGTACTAGATTAAGCTGGACATATAAAGGTCAAAGAGAATGTGGATTTTTATTGGTGAAGATTTTATACAGTATAATAGAAAAAAATATGTTTTAGTGGAATTTTCGCATTTTATTCAAAGAAAACAATAATACAACAAATAAAGAAGTAGCACACATTAAAACAATTAAGAACATAAATCACAATAAAATATCTTACATTTTTATCGACCCCAGTGCATTCAGAGTGACACCAGGATTGGCACTCCTGAAATTCAATCCAGCATTCTTTCGACTTTAAGAGGGAATACAGGCCATTACAATACAAGCAAGCAACGTCGGAATTATCATCTTCAAAATTTTCGTTATCGCTCGCAGATTCCTGTTCCTTCTCATCATTTCTCTTTTTCCTCCTTCTTTTGCCATTCGGTATAATGTTCGTTTTTCAGAAAAAGTGTCATTCACAGATTTCCGTTCTAATCCACTGTTGTACGTAGCTTTTCCTTTAGGTTCTATCTTCTGTTTTATTTGTCGTTTAACTTTTTTTGCCAGTTTTCTTCGTTCTACATTTTCTTTTTCAACAACCTTATCTTTCAATTCTTGAATTTCAGGGGTTGAATTTATTACCCCTGTTTTTCCACGCTTCTTTTCTTTTTTTTTGTGTTTGACTGCGAAACACTTGGAAAGGGTGATAAATCTTGGATTGTTATACGAAGAGTATCCTGTTGAGTATTTTCTACAAGGACCCGTTGGCAGTCTTTAGGTCGGCGATTTTGTCCACTTTCTAGGTTTTCTTCTAGATTATAATCTGGTTTGTTTAGATGGGTGTTTTGAGTTTGATCTTGATTGCTCTCTATAGGTTTATCTGTAACCAATGATGGAGCGAACACACATTCCTCAAAAATATCAGGATTAAAAGGTTGAATCCCTGTTTGTACAAAGACATTTATGGCATTAGCAGTAGTAGCACTTTTAAGGTAAGCTGTTTTAAATAACCCAGCAACTTGTAAGTGCGTAACGAGTCTTCCAGGATTTTGTTTTTCCCAATTTAGAATCTCTTATTTATAATAGGTTATTAGAGGACTGAAATAGCCCACGTCGAGTGGAAACAGTGTGGTGGAAAGCAGAAAAATATAATACCATTCTCTTTTGCAACTTGTAAGACTTCCAGTCCCTTATGACTTCTGTGGCCATCTAACAATAATAATATTTTGTTCTCATTCGAAGCTTTGATATAGTGAATAAAATGTTTAAGCCATTGAACAAAATTGTCTGAAGACATCCACCCTTTCTCCTGGCAAAAAGCAACACTTCCCGGTGGGGCAGCGTCCATTAATTTATTTTTGAACCTTTTTTTCTGAGAAAAATAAATGCAGGTGGTACAAAAGTACCAATTGCATTCATTGAACATATAACTGTTAAATGCTGACCTCGTTCCGCACTGCTCAGTGCTCCGACTTGTTTCCGTCCCTTGGTTGCTAATACTTGTTGAGACCTTGTTTGAACAGTGCTAAAACCTGATTCATCAACGTTGAATATATTTTCGGATTGAAAATTGTAGGAGAAATGCGCCTATGATGAACCCCTTAAGGAAAAAGTTCGATAATAATTTTAATTATTTACTTAGCAGGCTTTAAATATGACCACATAACGTCTTGTTATTTGCATATTATTATATTATATTAGGTATATAACAGGATATTAAAATCCTGTTAAGGGTCCATCGTAGGTATATATGGGCTCATGATGGAAAATTTGATACGCCCATAATGGACCCGTTGCATTTTGTATAAAATAAGTAAATAACAAATTATTTTATTAAACCACAAGATATTCTAAACTATAAATAATATTACAAATAAGTATTTTTAAGAAAGTTATATGCAGAATTCACACACAAATTGTTTACTTCCAGGATTTACATGTGTACATTTAGTGTGACACCAATTCTTACACACTTGACAACGAATCCATTTTTGTTTGGATCGTGAATGCGAAAATAGGTCGTTACAGTAAATGCAAGCTGCATCGTTCGAGTCGTCTTCTTCAAAAGAAGATTCACAATCGTCTTCAGAACTGTTTGCAGTTGAAACACGAACTTGCCTTTTGACTTTTCTTGGGTCTTGTTTTTTTTTTGCTTCTTTTTCTACAATATTTTGTTTTATATCATCAATTTCTGGCGTTGAATTTAAATATCCTGTTTTACCCCATTTTCTACTCCTTTTCTGAGTAACTTCAGATACTGCAGCTAGAGGAGGACAAATTTTTCGACCAAGAGGTTTAGGACTGACGATGGTGTTGATTTCTGATCAGTGATTTTTGATAAACCTTCAATCGAAGAAACATTTTGGTTCTGATGTTCCGATAGTGAGCAAAAATTGCCAAACCTCGAAGACATCTGGATTGAACGGTTCTATTCCTGTCTTTTTAAATGCATTTATTGCATTAGATGGAAGAGCACTTTTTAAATATGCTCTATTAAAGATACTGGCTACTTTAAATTGGGTAACTAATTGAATGTCTTGGCCGTAGTATGTTTAAAGTGGTCTAAAAAATCCTACGTCCTAGCTGAACGTGATGAGAGTAGTGAGCAGAAAAACAAAACATAATAATACCGTTTTCTTTTGCAAACTGGAGAGCTTCAAAACTTTTATGACTACCATGACCATCGAGCATTGAAATTACAGCAAGGGGTTCATCACAGGCAAGGGTCCAACATAGGCACACTTCCCCTACTTTTTATGAAGAAAAACATTTTTTCATAAAAATAAAAATAAAAATAAAAATAAAAAGGTTTCACATGTGGTGCGGACTTAATTGGACACACTGTATAAAGGAATATTGAGAGGAAAAAGAAAATATCTTTAAAATGATGGAATTTTCAAGTGTTTTATAACCGATGAAATAAAATATCAATTTGTGAAACTTGTTGGGACATTCTATATATATTTACAAATAAATATCTCATCAAACAGTTAAGTATACAAAATCCCGACTTAATTTTATCGCATATTTATGATTTTAGAACAAATTTACATTAGTAATTCAATTATAATTAAACGTTCAACGTTCAACATCATGTGCGACCATCTTAAGGTTATAATTGAAGTGATCGTTCAAGAATTAGGAAATAAAAAGTTAGCTGAACAAAATGCGAAGGAATATATCGATAGTTACACGTTGGGACTACCTGAGGATCTTTCTTTCAATGGTATATATAAAGATAGTATTATAAAATATATAGAAGATCTTAAAAACAAAGCAAGTGATGAAATTAACGAGGAAAATAGTGTGGAAAATGTGATCTACAGATGTCTATTCGCCATATACCGAAAATCCTCTCAACAGGAAAGATTCTTGTACCTTCACGATTTGTTGGAATACTTATACCAACAGTTGGTACAAAAAATAATTCAGTTACAAGAATATTCTTTACTAATATCAAAAAACGAGTTCATTAGGAAAGTTAGAGTTTTATTTCCGCATATCAAGGTACGTAATATGAAATCAATGATGAGTGAAACATCGATAGAAAATGACAGATTTAAAGAAGCCCTTACTGAACTGTGTGAAGCCGCACTGTATCCAACAATTTTAAGGGAAGATTGCTATGAGATTATTAAAAGTAAAGTATCTATTGAAAATACGGCATTTTTAAATTTTGAAGTGAAAACTGTACAAATGAAAAACGGTTTTTTGTGTGAATATTTAAAACTCCGTATTAGCATAACAAATGAAGATCATTTCTTTTTTATTAAATGTATGCCCAAAGCAACTGAAATTGACCCTATCAGAAAATACCTAATAGAAAATTCGTTTAACAAAGAAGAGATGTATTATAGGCAGTTCATTCCTTCTGTGACAAAACTAGTATCGGCTGAAATGACAGATTTCGTACCAAGAAGTTATTATTCTCTACACAATCAGTTCATCGTTCTGGAGGATATTACAGTAAATACCTTTGCCAATCTTGACATAAGAGTGCCTTTAACTTATGATCAGTTATTGCTAATAATGAAACAGTTAGCTAAAATGCATGCTGCTGGCGTGATATATGAAGAAAATATATCCAAAATACTTAACAAACCGTTTAGATCAATCGAACATTATGCTGGAATGCTTAGGGAAGCGATGGATATCAACGATAAAACAGTTAAAGCATACTTTGACTGTAATATCAGAACGATTAATTATTTATTTGAAAAGTGTAAGAACAGATTCAAGGACATTGACCTTCAAGACATGCAAAAGAAGGTAAGGGAAGGTTTTTACAAAATGCGTGACATAATCAAACCATCTGACAAATGTAGAAACTTTATTACTCATGGTGATCTGTGGTGCAACAATATTGTGTTCAAAGACGATCAAAGTTCGTGTCTTTTATTAGATTTGCAGATGGTTAGATATTGTAGTCCAGTCTATGACGTATGTATCGTATTGACACTGAATGCAGATCAAAATACAAGAAAAGAATATAGCAAAAAGCTTCTAGATGATTACTATACACATCTAAAAGATAATCTAAGTAAGCATGGCGTTAATATCGAGAATGTTTTGAGTTATAAGCGTCTTATGGAAGAATACAAACAAGTCACTTCAACCGCAATAATGCGTTCGTTGGCCTTGTTAACTGTAGTACTACCACCTCGAGAAAAAATGGATGCATTTTTAAAAGATCCGAACGATGCTCAGAATATTATAATTGGTGATCGCAGTGGTATTATAGATGTGTTTTGGGATGTATTGGAAGAAAGGTTAGGAGGACTACTCGAAGACCTTTATGTTTGTTTTAATAATGTTTAGGCAATCTTTAATGTTCTGTGTGCAATCATTTATACATCTCACATGTTAGTGTAATGCTATTCTACAGTAATAATTGTTCATATGTTCCAATTTAATTTGTAAATATTATTATTCTACCACAATAAATTTGAATCTTGAATTGTATAAAGTGTTGCATATATAAAGGCGTGTTATTATACTACCTAATACCTATTATTGTACCAAAATAATAATAATGAGTATTAAAATAGAGTTGTTTCCAGTTGTTTCATTAACAAAAAAAACTTTCCAAAGTTTAAATATAGATAATATTGAATAATACGTTGACAGCGATCACATTTCTTTTAATCCAAGTCCTTGAAACTGACATTTGAATGATTTTGTTGTGAATGACAGTACGTTTTATTTTTATCCCATTTCATATTGTAATCGGCTCCTTGCACCCTCAAAATCCTTAATTTAAAATGAATTCAATCTATTTTCCACGAATTGTTAAGTCCTGCAATTTCGTAGCAAGGAGATATATAGGAATTACACAGTCTAAGCTTAAATCCTTCAAGGTACAAGATGACCAAGACTTTTTAGAAAAGGTGGAGAAGAGTAAGGATCCAATAATTGTGGATTTCTTCGCAAAGTAAGTGTTAGCAATGGTGTTAGGTAATGTAATAATAGTATGTTATGTTAATTGTAGCTGGTGTGGTCCATGCAAGGCATTGGAACCAAGATTGCAAAATGTTATTGCACAAAGAAAAGGTCAAATATCTCTTGCAAAAGTGGATATTGATGATTTAGGAGAGTTAGCTGCAAAATACGAGGTAAAAGTATAACTAGACTGATCATATTACTTGTCATTAATATTTCCTTAATTGTGCTTCAAATATCATATGATAACCATGTTTCACAATCATTATCAACTGTAGAGTATTGACCAAGACCTTGTGTTTAAAATTGTCAACAAATTTGTCTGCAAGTTCATTTAATCTACACCCAAATAAAAACCATTTCCTGATTATTCCCACTTATTGTAAACACTCAGTAAATTTTAATAAATAGATATTTATATTGCACTTCTTTGTGATTTTAGGTGAGCACCATACCTGCATTAGTAGTTTTCCAAGATGGTAAAGTGAAGGAGAGACTAGTAGGATTACAAGATGAAGACAAACTGAACACATGGATAGATAATGTGTTAAAAAAGTAAATCGAGGCATAATGCTATTATAATTGTATATTGAGTGATATTTGTTGGATGTAAGATGATTTTAAATAAAAATAAAGAATATGTGCATAGCATCTATAATTTTTTAATGCTCCCAACTAAGAGAAACCAAAGAAACCTTTGCACTTGTCTTGCACAAGTAAGTATTCGTGATTTGTCCAAAAATTAGTAATTTTGAAAATTTCCTTCATTAATATATAGATTTATTTAAGAAATAAGCTAAAAAAAACAGCAAAAACAGATAAAAAATAAACACAAACATTGTTTTGTACACATTTAATTAATCACTAACATTTTATTCCTAAAATACAGTTATCACAGCATTTCATTATTTTCTAAATTAAAGTAATCTAATGTTTTTCTTTTTTTGAATGTTTATGCTTTTTCTTTTTCTTGCTCTTTTTTTTATGCCTGCTCTTTTTGTCACTTTCATCCTTCTCTATCCATTCATCTTTATCACTTTCCACATCCACAACAGCTGATTTAAAACTTGTCTTCATAGAGTCACCATCTTTGGGTGTTGGTAATTGAGGGCCATAGGATAAGCTGTCATTATTGTTAATTCTAGCTGTTGTTGGAATCTCAATTACATTTGAACCATATTTTGTGACTTCTGTGGCAGTTGCGGCAGATAATGCATGACCAAAAAGTTGTGTTTCTTTTTTATTTGTATTTCTATCTTTTCTTGGTACGAATAAAATGGTTTTTGCTTCTGAACTGTTTTCTGTTTTGTCTTGATTCTCTTCTTTTATTTGATTTATTGGCTGGAAGTTTATATTGGACAATATTCCCTGTTTTAATGGTTTTATTTTTGGAACCAGATCAGACAAAATAGTTTCTTTATATGCTTCTGTCTTTTTTTCGTCCTCTTTTTCTTCTTCTTCCTCTTCAGATTCACTGCTGCTTAAAAACACAGCTTTGAACAGATCTACCTTGTCTTCAATACCAATTTTCTCTGTCATATCTTGTTCAATTTTTACTTCTTGGTTCTCTTCTATAACTAATTCTTTTTCTTCAACTGGCGATAGAGTTTCAGTTTTAACAGCATTTTCCTGGGCCTCGGCTTTAGAACTATCATCCCGATTTTCAGGTTCATCAATGTTTGTTGAACATCCAGGTAAAAAAAGAAGTTCTTGATCTTCTGTGTGTTTCTGATTCTCAAAAATTAAATTCTTGGTTCTTTTTCTCTGTTTCTGTTCAGGAAGACTAAAACAAAAATCAAAATGTATTTTCTCTTAAATAAAAATCATAAAGTGATCAATTTATCAAGAGATTTGACGTATAAAAATCATATGAACAACCTAACCTTTGCTGAGAATGTCAATTTTTGGACCCCAAAAGATGCAAAAAATGTTGGCTTTCTCCTAAACCCCCACGTAGGATGGTGAAACGGAGAACCTGTATATCTTAGAAAAAAATGTTTCAAACAAAAAATACTATTATCACTTTGCGTATAGAATGAACTGTTCTCACTTGCAGAGACCAACGATTTTAAATGTGATATGCTTGTGGAATCAACTCTTTAAATAAAATTTGTATCAATTTGACAATAAATATTCGATATCTTTTCATAATAAAAATTAAAATTGGTTTTAAAGTTAAAGAGAAAATCTTTTCTATTTTTTTTAGTGATATGAATTTGTGATTAGGCTCTAAAAATGGAAACTACATATTACATAATGACATGAAAAATGGAAGTGATGAATTCTATTGATCTCATGAGAATGGTAAAATAAATTTAATTATTTAACAGATTTACAAAAGACTGACTTCATTTGCGGCAAAACACAAAAATTGCATATGAAACCTGAACTCTTCACCTTTAAAACGCATTTTGATTTTTGTCAACAGACCAATGTAATTTAAAAAGTTGATTTCACACATGTAACGATGTAACTGACATTCAAAAGCGCAGACCACTTCAAGAATTGTTTCTTTCTAAAGAAAACACATACAGTGGAACCTCGATTATCCATCAGGGCACCGGACCAAGGGTATGACGGATAATCGAAAAGACGGTTAACAGAACATTAAAAAAATTTCAGAGTATAACTCTCAAATTTTATTTGTATGTTTTATTTGACAATGTAAGAGGAATACAGCCGAATCCTTTTGTTTGTTTTATTGTTATTTCACATTTGCAACAGCTGAATTTCTTAATCGACGTAGAATTATCAAATCTACCTTGTTTGCTTCTTCTTGCCGAGAATACCATTTGATGAATTGTTGTATGTGCGATGCAGTTCCTCTAGCTTCTTTACGCAAGTCTATGTGAGTTGTAATAGCATCAATATCGCCACCATCAAAGTCTCTGTCAGCTTCTGAATCAGTTTCGTCCGCCTCTGTCGCCATTTCAACAATTTCATCATCTGTCAGCAATAGCCGTTTGCGTCCTCATAACAAATTAACCATTCGTTTATGTCATCTTTAGGGAACGAAAACCAAACAGTTGATTCAAACTTCATTTAAGGGGAGCATTTTCATCTTAAGTTGATTCAGGCCATAATTTATTCCACGCTCTTTTCAGCGTTACTTCCGAAACATCAGCCCAAGCATCCACAGCATTGTCGACTGCGTGTTTTAAATTACTCTTCCATAACTAGGTTTTGAATAAATTTTGTTCTGTATTTTCTTTTGAATGTTTTAATGACCGAATGATCCATTGGCTGTATCAATGATGTATTCGCAGGCACAAAAGAGTATGTAATATTTTTATTGTCAATCCGCAGCATACCGGCTTTAGAATGGGCGGGTACCTTGTCCAAAATGAGAATCGTCTTTGGTGACTAAATTTTTACTTATGTTGTCAATATAACTTATGTATGGACCATGACGGTTAACAGAGGTGACAGTTAATAGAGAGACGGTTAATCGAGGTTCAACTGTATTTTATTCACAACACAACAAAATTCAGACACTGTATAGATTCTTAATAAATTATTGTTTTCTGTTTTTCCTCCCATGAGGGGAGTTTGTGGGGGTAAGGGACATTCTCAGCAAAATTCAGCTTGTTTGTATAATTTTTAGAGGTTCAGTGGCATTTTTGTCTAGCAAGACTGAAGTAGATAATATCTACTAACCCTTTCAGCTCTTGTTAAAATAAAAAACCTCAGCTCCATTGCCAGCAGAAATAATTTCGTTTGAATTTAAAATATACACAAAGCAAGCTTACTTATACACAATGAGAGTTACTGTCAATGTAAATTGTAATATATCTGTTTATAATGGACATTTTGTCAATTTTTTAGCTTTTGGATTCTTTTTTAAGCTTGTTGTAGATTTTATGGTGTTTTGTGAGATTTAAGTTGATTTGTAGGCTTTTTAGTGTAAAAAAAATTATTATTAGGAATATTTTGAACACCTTATGCGATTTTATAAGTGATAGTGGCTTTGTAGGTATACCTACTTTATATATGGACAATAATTTGGTGTTTTAGAAGTTATAAATAAGGTATGTTTAAGTACTATTGAGTCAGTACTTAATACCCAACCATACACATACACCTCCGGCATTTTTTTAGGGACTTTCGGTAGGAACAATATTTATAAGCTACACATAAAATGCATTGTGTAGTAGCTGGTTGTTAAGTCATAATCAGACAAGAGATGCTGATAAATCTGGTAGGTTTTATGTTTTTCTCAAGGACTCTGTAGTGGAAAACTGTGGGTTATTGCTTGTTGTCATGAAGACAAATTTAATACTAAAACCTCAAGGATTTGTTCCAAATATTTCATGAATTGTAATATGAATCAAAGAAAGGACCTAAGCTGAAAAGTGATGCTGTTCCTTTTTTTTATCTGCCACAATCGAAAAGTTTATTCATAAATCAACTTAAAAGGTAGGAGAGACTTTCCAAAAGAGAGTCAAAGAGGATTGTGGAACAGATAATTACACAATCTTTTTCACTCTCAAATGTATTTTACAATTCGAATAAATTAAACCTAACACTTAAAGAAGATATAAGAGAAAATTAACGAAAATTGTAACTTAAAATGTTGTGTTTCATTTGTTTTGTCAATTTTACTACAGATAATTACTGATCAATTATTTTCATCTGTTTACATGCAAATAGATGAATGCTTCATCCGCTAATTGAGACTGGTGCCAAATAAGACAAGCCAATCAAAAGAGAGCTTGTAAAATTTATGAAGATTACCTTCCTAGGATTAAAAATCGAAGAATACAAAAAAAGTTTCAAAATTGAGGTATTTATTTTACAGATTATTTTTTGTTCACTGTATTTATAAATTTTTTAAATCAAAATAATAAAATACCTATATTTCAATAAATCCAAAATGATTCCATAGAAACTCTATTAACCTAGAAAACAACTTTTAATTGCTAATTAAAAATGGAAGCATCAATGTTCTTATAGGGAATATTTAAAATCACCTCTCATTGCAATGTAATGCATGAACTTGACCCAATTTCGCACTAGAGAGTATCATACCTGCTATTCTTAGTACCATGAGTTATAATTATCTATTTAATACCACAAATTATAATTAAAAAAAACATGATTCTTAATATTTGTATAATAGACACTATACTTAAGTACTTACTCTATCAAGGGTTCTGCTACATTAAACCTCTTGTATAAAATAGCATGTGGTCGCCAATCAGAGGTAATTCTAGTTAAAGGTCCAAACATATTCATTTTAGCTGCTGCTCTCATATCACTAGTACCATGCTCAGTCTCTGTTTTTACTACTGGTTCTAAACTGTTTGTACTCTCAGTCTGTGAGGCTGAAACAAATCTATCAGTCATAAGAGAAGATACATCAAAAGTTCTAGGAGCAAGTCTCTCTTGTTGTGGTTTTTGGTCTAAAATAGGCTGAGATGGTGTTGGTACAACAGGGTCTTCACCCAAATACCTAGCTCTTACTGCAGGATTTATACTTCCTCTATCTATGTCTTGGTCTTCTTCTACCTTTACTTCTACTGGCTCAAATCTAGATTTCTTAATTTTATGTTTTCCTGTAAAACTATGAGGAATTGTTGGTGGAGGATAAGCTTTTTTACTAACTAATGGTGCTTTGGATGGTTTAAACATACCAAACTGCAACAAGCCATCTTTGTTAACTTTTGGTTTCTGCTTTTCTGATACAAGCTCAAAATCATAGTTGCTCATATCTTCCTTTGAGTAAATATCATCATCATCTTCTTCAAAAGCACCTACCCCAAAACCTTGGCCTGATATTGATACTTTTTTGTTATTCTTATCAGTGACAACAAGATTTGAATGTGAAAAAAGATTCACATGGCTTCTATCCAATCCTTGGTAACCTATACCAAAAGTATTTGATTTTGGATTAGCTAGATTTTCAAGGTAGATTTCTGGAATCTTGTACTGATTGTTTTCTATCTTTTTTGGAATTTTGAATGTACCAGGAATTTGGCAACCATAAACCTTTGTATCAGAGTAGAGTTCTACTTGCTCTTTAATTTTATCCTTGATTCCGATTTTCCTTAAAAGTAAGTATCCTATAGTTTCATTTCCACTGGTTAACAATGTTTCAAGTACTGGAGTACCAGGGATTGGACCTTCTGAAAATACCTAAAAATAAACGACTGTATAAAAACATGAATCAAACAAGCATTATATAAACACTTACTTTTTTCTTTCGTTTCTTTGAGGTAGAATAATCAGTAGTGGCTCTTATCGTTTGTGGAGCAATGCCATGTTCCTCTAAATCTTCCTGGTCCATAAAATCCTCTGGTTTTTGAACAACATTTCGGCCTTTATCCTGTCTGGTACTTTTAAACTCACTGGGTGTCCACCCTTCTAAAGATCCAACGGTATTAAAAAAACCAGCTGAGAATCCTCCAGTAAAGGCTCCATGGAATCTACGTCTACCTTGAGCATCAGTTGCGATCTGATCTTCAACACTAATTGGTTTCTTCTTTGGAAATGAATCTGAAAGGGAAAATTCATGTATATTGAAATTAAAGTAAAGTAAATAAGTAAAACTTACCTTCATCATATTGCTCTAATGGTGTACCAAAAAAGCAAAAATGTTCCTCTTCTTCATCAGACATTTTACTCAGATCTAAAATACACAATAAACCTTAATAAATATTGAAAATCTTTGTTTAATTTAGGTTAATATTTACCATTTACTTGACATCAATGACATAATGACATATTATGTATTATGTCCTGTCATTTAATGAAAAATTAAAGACCAACGCCTGAGTTTAGACTACCAACTATACACAGTTCATGATATTGGACCAGAATTTATTAACGGATTGTACTAAAGCCTGTATTGGATCATGTAGGACATTATGTACGAAAAATATAATTATTGTTTTGATTTGTCGATTTTTTTGCCGAACTTTCTATACTCAAAAAAATGTATTTTTTATAGTAAAAAATAGGGGTGCATGGCCAAGTGAGGCAAATTATCCTTAACGTTTATGTATTATATTAACAACAGATTTCTAATCGAAGATTTTTTTTTAAATCTAATTATTTTCTTGGAATAAATACAAAAAATAGTTGCAAATAGGTGATAAAAATTTTAAACTTATTTTAATTTTTATGAAATTTGGCAACGATGTTAATTCAAATTTTTGGAATTTTTCATTTTAGAATAAGGTTTTCTACAGCTATTGTTTAATGCAAAATAATTTAAAAAATTAAAATATCTGACATATATAGAAAGCACGCGGGCACATTTAAATTCAGAACTTCAGACTGTAATTAAAAAATTCATTCATGTCACTCATGATCCTCCACCTCTCATGACATTTATGACGTCAATGTCGTTTGGAGTAGGTTATGTAGATTTGCGATAATCTATCTTTCTATCTGCAAGAAAAAGTCTGGCAAGAGACGGAAAGCTATAAAACCGACTCCTGAGTAAAAAACACGTACAATTTTCACATTTATCAAACAAAATGCTTCCAAGTTGTGTTAGAACTGTATGCACAAAAACAGTTTTGCCCAAAGTAAGTGGATATTGATTTAATTTTAAACGACGTTTTTAAGAGTAGCAGAGGGACTCCACAAGGTTAAATTGAAGTCATTTGGTACTGGATATAATTTGGCAGAATTTTGAAATATGGCTAAGCGCTTGACAAATTTAGTAAATGTAAACATCTTTCCTATAATATCAGTAGAGCACAATGTTTAAATATATATTTAATTCAACTTTTTCTTTTCCAGAAAACATTGGGTGCTTTTTCAAAGAATAACTTCGCCACAGAAGCCTCTTTTGAAACAAAAGTAAGTATTTTATGTAGTTATAAACATCTATAAGGGTTTGAGAGTGATTATGTAACATTTTTAATTGTTTCTCACTTTTACCTTCTGTATTTCAATACAGTTTGCGATAGAGTTATTTTATTTAGTTGACAATTTCCTTAATTGGTTCTTTAAGATCTTTTATTATCATACCAGCTTCGAATCTCTAAATCACTCTATAGGGCACTCATAAATGACTTTCCTTTCTAATTGGGTTTTCCTAGATTATTTTGAGTGTTTCCTTATTTTAAGTAACATTTATTTAATCGAAAACCAATTTTCTTACTGGTTGTTTATAATGTAATGTTTTTTATTTGTTTTTAGCCTTACAGATTACACAAATTAGATGAATCTCCTTCTACATCAGTAAGTCTAAATAAAGAAGATGCCATCAAGTATTACACACAAATGCACACCATCAGAAGGATGGAGACCTCAGCTGGTAACCTCTACAAAGACAAAATCATTAGAGGATTCTGTCATCTTTACTCTGGACAGGTGAGTGTTATAGTCACTTTGTGGCATTACTTTTTTATATACGGCTAGAACTATTCTATGTAATGTTATAAATCAAGGACTATCTTTGACTACAGACCTTAGAATAATGATTTTCAGATATTGAAATAAATCCATATAATAACATTTAAATATTCAATATTATTATATGGAGCTGAGACAAGAAGTCTTTGAACTCTGGTTTTACAGAAGAATATTAAAAATATCATGGGCTAATAGAATTACGAATAAGGTGCTGGAGAGGATTCAAAAATAAACAGAACTGATCACTGCTATATGAAAACAGAATTCTTGGTTGAAGAACTTGTGTGATGGGTATCAGCGCAGATTCTTTGATTTTTTTAGACCTCTAAGAGGAAGATAAAGAAAACGAAGCTCTTTTATTGTGTTAAATGCTTATTATATTTTGCTCTTTAAAATTATTTTCCCCAATTTAATATACTAAACTTATTACAGAATAACAGATATTTAAATAATTCCAATAAACCATTTCAGGAAGCTGTAGCTGTAGGTATCAAGGCTGCTCTTCGTCCATATGATGGTGTAATCACTGCCTACAGAGCTCATGGTTGGACCTACCTTATGGGAGTTCCACCAGTAGGAGTTCTGTCTGAACTTTGTGGAAGACAAAAGGGCTGCGCCAAGGGTAAAGGTGGATCTATGCACATGTATACTGAGAACTTTTATGGAGGAAATGGTATTGTTGGGGCTCAGGTAATAAACTACTTATAATATATCTTTCAGAATATAATTATTGTTTTCTTCCTTTATTTCTTACTATATCGATTCTGTTTCTCTTCCTTGTAGGTTCCTTTAGGAGTAGGAATTGCTCTTGCTGCCAAATATAAAGGTACAGATGGAGTGTGCATAGCACTGTATGGTGATGGTGCTGCCAACCAAGGCCAAGTATTTGAGGTGTACAACATGGCCAAACTTTGGGACATTCCTTGCATTTTTGTATGTGAAAACAATGGTTATGGTATGGGTACCAGTTCCGAAAGAGCTTCAGCAAGTACCTCCTACTATTCAAGGTAAAGATCTCAATCATTTTTTATAAGACATATTGAGTCCATTCTTTCACTATTTGTGCTCAAAATTTTAAAGAACAGCCTCTATTGACATGGAATTTGAAATAAGCATATGAAACATGTCAAAGAAAAAAAATTATATACTGTTGATATGTGCTTTTATCCCATTGGTGAGTTTCACCCCTTCTAGGGGTGAAAATATTTAATAATTTTATAAATTATAGCAAAAAGTATTATATACACTTTTCTTGGTAAGTTAACATTTTCCAAGTTATTCATGGTTGAAATTATTTGCTTCCTTACCAAAAAAAATGCATGTTTTTGGGTGTTTTTTCAAAAAGAAACCTTTTAAATTAACAAATAAAATGGTTTTTTTATTTTTATCAGTGCTGTACAACCTGAGGAAGGTGAGGGTTTATTTGAATTAACCTGAAATCGAAACTTTTAGCAACAAATAACATAAAAAAAGAGGTAAGCTAAGATATTTGTGGTTCAGATGAAAGACACCTCAGTTAAAAAAAAAAACAAATTATCGCATCACTTGCTTCATCAGTTAATACTCTCAAAGAAAATTTTAAGAGTTTAGGTGCAAGTTCAAATTTGGCTTGGGAACAAAAATATTTGCCCTACTGATTGGAGATGGATATGAAGGTTATTTGCAACCAGTAAAAATGCTAAATAAGCCTACACTAGAAGAACTGCTTATAATGATATCTTGCAATTATACAATAAGATGCGTTACAACATGCAGCTGTAGAAAAGTTGGACTTTTTTGTAATACAGCCTGTGGAACTTGCTCTGATGATAATTGTCAAAACTTTCCTCCAATTACAGTACAAAAAGAGGAACAAGAAAATGATAGTTCTTGTGATGAATATAAAATATTGTATTAAACATTTATTACATTGAAATACATAACTCTTGTATTTTTACCTTTATAGGCCCTTTATAGTTGTTAATAATAATACGCAATATATATTTTTTAAATTTTATGTAGGAGTTTAAATTTTTTTACAATATTTTGTAAGAAAAGGTAAATAGAAATAATATTAAAAATAATGAACAGATTTTTAATGATTGCACTCACAACATTGTTCAATTTGAAATTTTAGTATACAATTTTTATATATTACTCTATAAAGTGTGATTTTTAAGGATTGAATAATTGCATTATCACAAATTCAATTTGTAAATAGCAAAATAAATTTAATCTACTCTAAATAGACCAAGGACCAAGTTTGAAACATTTAATTTTTTTTAATAAATTTAGTGTCAAAGGTGGTTTATAAGAATTGAAAATATTAAATAGTTAACCCTTTAATCGGCAAAATAGAAATAGGGGATTAAACTTTCTGAAAATTTTGGTTTCGGGGTAATTTTGGTAAATGAAACACGAATAGAAAGTCCATTTTTCGATATCGTTATTGAGTCAGTCACAAAGTGAAAAAGAAGAATGCCGGCCATACGGCCGGTATATCGTTCTATAGGGGAAAATGAATTAGTCCTTTTTTGTTGCTTATAAAAACATTTAATTTTTTATTGATATAAACTTGATAAAAAAAATTAACAGGTAAATACTAAAAAATGAAATATATTAACGACGGACGTGGTAGTCTTTCCAACAATTCTTGGCACCGGAATAACATAAATGCAGTTGACATTTCGGGCAGAAAGTGTGTGTTTCCGATTTCTTGCAGTATTTGCAGGACTTTTTACGACCTGGAATCCATTCAGGAACATGATCAACTCCATCGTAACGTACATCTTCAACAGGATGCGCTGCCTTGTTGCCAGTATTAGTACTATTAGTAGTGAGCGGTGAGTTTGAAGGTCGACCAATGGGTCTTTTCTGAACAGAAGAGCACAGACCTTGAGCAATTTTCACACGAAATTGGAATAGTCTCATGTTTTTTTCTTTTGAAGTTCCTTCTTCTTTGAAATCTGTTTTCGCAGCATCCTCATTATGTGATCTGCGATACAATATGAACGCATTTGTGACAGCCATATCCAGAAAATGGTAAAAGATGCGTGTCATTGCATCCATTGTTTTAATGCGCAGTCCACTTCGTCCCATATGCGAGTCCATGAGGTCAACTCCTCCCATATGCGAATTGTACTCACGAATTATTTGGGGGTAGTCGACATCAATGTATTCTTTCTTTCTTTTGTCGTAACGAGTCGTTTTTGCTATCTGTTTGTCTGGATTCAATTTCTGAAATGGTTGGACCCCAACGTAAGTTGAACAAAGTTTTACGTTTTTGGTATCTTTCCAGAGGACAGTGGTAAGGTCCACACCATATGCACAACCCATATACTCCACTGCGTAACCCCGTTCGGCGTTTTTGATTTCTCTATCTGCATCCAGCGGAAGTTTACAATTGGGAATTCTATTTGCACGTATTGTCCCCAGTCCAAAGATTCCACGAGCTCGTAAATAAACTAAAAGGGGCAACGATGTGTAAAAATTGTCACAGTAAACGATATGGTTTTTGAAATTTGGAATTGTTTGTGACAACCTAATAACAACGTTGCTGGTAGCTCCGAGGTCTGGTGTTCCTGGCACGATGATGTTATCTCCAGCACCATTATATATCTCGAATTGGTACGAATATCCCGTGGTATCGCACAGTACAAACAACTTTATTCCCCATTTATGGGGCTTGTTCGGCATGTACTGGCGTAAATGGTGCGCCATTTTTGTCGAACACATTTGCTCGTCAACACATAACCGCGCATTCTTTGGAACGGAATTGAAGCGTTCATTTAAAATATTGGCAACTCTTCTAATTCTAAAAAGCGAATCATGTCCAGGTTGTCCTTTTTGAATACGCTCCGCTTCATTAGCAAAACACAAATATTTTTTTATCCGTTCAAATTTCTTTAATGGCATACACTGAGGAATTTGTCTAAATCCGAATTCTCCCCAGTGTGACTCCATGTTGGGATAACGAAAAATAGACATGTATAATAGAATTCCGATGTATCGTCGAATCTGCACCGCATCAACGTTGAATTGTGTGTTTATGTCTTTCAAACGTGCGTTTCGATTGGTTTCACAAACAATCAGGTCGATGAGTTCATCCGTGAAAAAATAACAAAAATACTCCATTGGTGTCTTCAGATTCTTTACAGTATACGGCAATGTAGTGTTTCCTCGAAATGCGACTTCATTGACATGCAATTGCATTGACTTTTTTCTCCATACAATTTTTGTGAACTCTGCTGAATTTTTGTCGATTGCATCCAAGCCTGAAAGAAAAAAGAGAAAAAAATTAGTATGGCATTATGACTTTCCGTGTTTTATTAGCATACCTGTGCCAGTGAAGCCACCCGCTGATGGTACTATATGTGGTCCCGTAGCTTCTACAGTTGGTAACGGGGATCTGGGTCTTTTCTTTGGTTTGAATTTAGTGGTTGTCGGTAGTTGTGTGGAAGTTGATGCAATTGGTTCTTTTGATGATAACCGTACGGATGATACTGAAACGTCCATTTGAGTATCCGGATCAGTTGTTGAAACTTCTGGTGATATAGTTTCGGATATTATAAGTTCCGGCAAAGTTAATGTTGCCGTTTCAGAAGTAAATATATTTACATGTGATTCTGAAACACCCACTAAATCTTCACTAACATCAGTGATATTACTTAGCTCTAACGGAGGGTCCATGGAGAGCTCCAAATCAGTGATATTTTCACGTAAACAAGAAGAAATCATCTCATCGTCCTCGGCTGTGAGCACATCCGCCTTGTAGTCATAATCCGGATCGGCTATGCTATCATCATCATCTTCGTAAACTGACTCGTCATCTGAATCCAGATTAGAGTTCATGATTTCGTCGATTTGTTCATCGGTTATTGTGGAAAGATCGTATTTTGTCCTCTTTTCCGCGTCTGTCAGCTCGTGATACCTTTTCGCACCATACTTTCTTCGTCTTTGAGATCTATTATTTTCCATGTTCTACGATAGAAAGAAAGAAATGTATAAATAATAAAAGTATAAATAATACAAATATGTACTTTTATTCAAATACGCGGAGAACTTATTTTACCGTACATCGGCAAGCCGGCCGAAAGGCGGGTATCACTCCACACTCAAAAACCAGTACTAATTTTATATTTTTCACCAAATATTCCAGCAAACTATCAAACACATACTATAAGTACTTACCAAAAAAAAATGAAATCAATTGGACAACTAGAACTATTTTATTTTACGGTTCGATTACACGTGTTCCAGAGCAATAATTTCTCCGTACGATTCACTTGCTTGCTTACACGTAACTGACCATATCTCTCAATTAACTGAACCTACAGCTTTTAAACCGTTACTGTTGGACGAGTCTATTCTTGCCGAAAAGCGGTGTAGTCGACGTGAAAGCAAATAAATTTTACATTTTAAAATAATTCGGTTATTTTAATGCCGGCCTTATGGCGGGATTACCGATTAAAGGGTTAAGAAATAAAACTATGAATACCTAATAAATTGATTTTAGTTCACTATAAAATGCAATATTAGATAATTGTCTTCATACATTTTGTCCTAAAGGGTGGATTTTGAGGGTTGAATAATAATTGTGTATTATAAAATACATTTGCATATGATAAACAAATCTTTATTTAATATACTTAAACGTGATTACTATTTTAATAACACATAAATCTGCAGTTTTTAATCTTTGGCAAAACTGTGTAATTTTCAACCATTAAAAATAAAAAGCACACATTGTAATCATATCATTGTTGAAAAGGAAGGTAAGTTACATTGAATTGCAAAATTTCATTAAAATTGGCGAGGTTCTTTAAAATTCTGTGGTTTTACTATATTTAACCATGAAGAACTTAAGTCTAGAAAAATAAAAGCATTTGAAATGTGGGTGTACCAACGCATTCTTTGTATATCCTGGACCGAACATGTCACCAACATAGAGGTAATCCAAAGAATCAGAAAGGAGAAAGGAATAGTGAACACAATTAAATAAAGAAATCTTGAATATCTAGGCCACATATTGAGGCACGATAAGTACCGTCTACTGCAATTGATTGTCCAGGGGAAAATAGACAGTAAGCGAGGGTCAGGCAGGAGAAGACACTCGTGGCTCCAAAATCTGCGGAAGTGGTTCGGGCTAACATCGGTCGAACTATTCAGAAGCCCAGCAAACAAGATCAGAATTGCCATGTTAATACCCAACGTTCGCAACGGACAGGGCACTTGAAGAAAAAGAAGAAGAAGAACCTAAAGAATGGACTAGTTATACATATATACTGGAACATGTTTAACACTATTTTGTGTGCAAAGTAATATTGTAGTGAACTATTTTATAGTAATATCAACTATAGAATTAGAATATATAAGTTTTACAAGAATTTAAGGATAAAAGTTTATTTGAGACAAGAAAAAAGTATTAAAAACAAGTTTGAATTTATAAAATGATACAAATGTTAACAGCTAATCCTCTAATGATCTTATTTCTTTTATTAACTTGTGTTGTTTTCTGTATTTTGTAAATGAAATCTTTTTGTTTCACAGGGGAGACTATGTTCCTGGAATTTGGGTAGATGGTATGGATGTATTGGCTGTAAGGGAATGCTTCAGGTATGCAGTCAATTACGCAGGCAGTGGAAAGGGACCATTGGTCATTGAAGCAGCTACATACAGGTAAGCGAATACTAGTTTTAATGTTATATGATCAAAATTAGTCACTCTGTATTGCATAAAATGTTAATATTTTTATTTTTTGTGATTCTTCAGTTTTTAAATGTTTTTTATAGTAACTGGTTCTAATACCGCCATTTGTTGTTGTATAGACACATTCTGACTCCCATTTTTCTAGGTATTCAGGACACTCCATGTCTGATCCAGGTACAAGTTACAGAACCAGAGATGAAATTCAAGAAGTAAGACAAACCAGGGATCCTATTACCTCTTTCAAAGAGAAAATCATCTCATCAAATTTGGTCACACCTGATGAAATCAAGGTAAGTGTTCAAATGGATTGTGGTTAAAAGTGATAATTAAACTGTGTAAATCAGTCACAATGGGGGGTACTATATATTTATAGCATTATGTGCATTTTGAATTATTCTGTTATATAAATGTCCTTTTTATGTTACCCAAGAACCTTTGGAGTTATTTTCTTTTTTGCTACTTAGGTAAAAATTTAATTCATATTTTTTTTTGTTGCTATTTCGTATTTTGAGAATGTTGTAAAAAAAAAAGTACTGTAATGAAAATGACAGAATAAAAAAAACAATTCATGTAAAATTAAATTTACCATTTTAGGTCAATTTTTTATATATAAGAGTAACAAGTGCTTTTCAATTGGTTTAAAAATGGGACCATGTAAATTTGAAATATAAAAAGCAGATTAAAAAAAATAAGTGTGCATAAATTTCCAAATTTTGCAATTGAGGATAATTAATGTATCAGTGTCTAGACATAATGTTATCAAAATAATCAATATTCATAACAAGAAGTACTTGTTACTTGGGACTACTGTTGTACTCTCTTCAATTCAATTAGTAGATAAGATCATTGGAATTTAAAATCTGCATTTGCTCTAAAAGTATCCCATGTATTAACATAAAACCTTGTACCACTAATTAAATTTGTTAAGATAATTGTTTTACAAAAGGCCAAATGTCCTTGATGTTGTGATAAGATACAAGAATAATTTTTATAAAATAATATGATGTAATTTTAAGTATCAAGGAACAATGTGTCATAAATTAAATAAAAGAACTTTTAGAAATTAAAAATGAAGTCAGTCAGATAGCCAAGCTACATTCAATGTCGAAATACTTCTCTTTACCTTATTCCTAACTCTATGCGGGGTCAGCTTTTCTAAATACATTTCCCCATAGTTTTTATCTTGGGGATACCTCCAATATACCTACAAATAAAGCATACTATGGACTCAAAAATCATTTCCACTCAAGAAACATTCAAAGAACTAAAATTATTATATACAAAACATTGCTGAGGCCGGTCCTCACATATGGAGCAGAAACATGGACTCTAACGCAGAAAGATGAAAGACTTTTGGGAATATTTGAGCGTAAAATACTCCGCAAAATATTTGGAGCTGTAAACGACCAAGGGCAGTGGCGCAGAAGATATAATTTTGAATGGTATCAGCTCTTTGATGAGCCAGATGTCATAACGTTCATTAAAACACAGCGACTTAGATGAGCTGGACACATAATAAGAATGCCAGATAATATGATTGCTAAAAAGCTAACCACAGGAATACCTGTAGGAAGAAGCAAAGGCCGACCGCGAATTAGGTGGTTAGATAGAGTTGAAACCGACTTGCGGATATTAAAAATCAGAAGATGGCAGCATGTTGCCAGAAACCGAACAGAATGGCGAGCCAAAGATGATGATGATGATACCTCCAACCAACATGTCCTGCTTAAGTGTCTCCTCACAGGGCTCCTTTAGCCTACCTGTCCTACGGGATACTCCTGAATGAACCCTAACCTCACTGGAAAAAAAATCCCTCATATACACCATATGAACTTGGTCAATTAAGTATGTTCTCATCCATCTAAGAAGTGACCCATCAACACCCATTTTTTGAAGTTTAACTTAAAATATTATGGTTGACCTGATCAAAGGCCTTGGAGAAATCAGTGTATAGTGCATGTACCCTACAGCTTCTGTCCATGGCCCTCCTCTGGAAGTCTCTAAATAATATAATATAATAATAAATAATTACATTCAGTTGATCTACTATTGCGAAATCCAAATTGTTGGTCCACCAGCTATTTTTAAAAGTGAAGCTTTAAGATAGTCACATACAAAACATTCAAATATCTTTGGTATTGCACTAATTATGCTAATGGTCCTAAAAATAGGTCTTAAAAAACTATTTTTCCAGCATTCTGGAAATTTACCCTTATTTAAGGATAGATTAAAAATGTGAAACAGAGGTCTGGAATAATATAAAACAACAATTCTTGAGAAAGCTAGGAGACAATCCATCAGGGCTAGGACGACCCTTCTTCACATCCAGTTCCGATAATTTGAAATAAATATCAGATATAGTTATGTTGAAACCAGTCGAAGTTAGTAAGACCAAGTGAAGGTGAATCACTGGGTATGCCACATATTTGAGTGGAATAGACTGTAGAAAAATATTCTGCAAAAAGATTTTCAATATCTGGTGTGTGACTGGATTCAATATCACCATAACTTAACACGGGGGGCAATTAAGGCTTTCCCCTATGTGAATTCACAAACGACCAAAATCCCGTCAAATTATTTTCTAGTGATAATTCTGTTCAAAGTTAAAATGGAGCAAATAATACCCACAATTATTAAAACTAGTTGTAAAAAAATAAAAAGATATAACGGTGCACTACTTCAGGAGGGAGAAGTTAAGAAAAAATTCAGGCAGCAAATTGAAGAGAAACTGAAAATCCAGACAACAGTAAATGATATAGAAAGCAGATGGAACTACAAGAAAAAATTCAAGAAGCAGCCAACTCAGCATTATCAAGAAACAGACAATGTAAACAAACGGATTGGTACGATGAAGATTATAAGAAAGCCATTAGTGAGCAAAATAAAGCTAGAATAAATAGCATAATAAGAAATAATGAAGAGAGTAAAAAAGCTTATCCCGCAAAACGACGAGAAGCAAAGAAGATCTGTAGAAGGAAGAAGCGATCAAGTTTAGAGCAGAAACTAGTTTGTATTGAAGAAGCTTTTTTACAAACAAGTCAAGTTGTTAGAAAATTCGATTACTTGAGAGTGACACTAACAAATAGGAATGAAGAGAACCAAGAAATCATAAAAAGAATGGCCAAAGGTAGTAAGAGTGCGGGAGCCTGACTATGATACTGAGGTCCAGAAGATAATATCCAGAACAGCAAAGAAAAAACGTATATATACAACAGTTATCCGGCCTACAGTACTCTATGCTAGCGAGACCTGGACACTAAATAAAGATATGGAAGTAAAATTAGATAGATGGGCACGAAAAATTCTTAGAAGGATATACGGAGGTGTAAAAGAGGGGAACATCTGGCGAAGAAGAACGAATGAAGAAATAATGCAAATATATGGGCAACCAAAAATAACAAAACTCGCTAAAATTCAAAGATTAAGATGGCTCGGACATATAGCAAGAATGAAGGAAGGAAGAGTTCCCAATGAATTAATAAACACGGAGGCTGGTACAAAAAGAAAAAGAGGCCGCCCCCGAAGAAAATGGCTGGAGTCGGCAAAAGAAGATCTGAAGTCGCTGCGGGTACAAGATTGGAAAAACTTAGAGCACAAGATAGAAAGAAATGGAAGAAAACCGTTGAAGCCTTGGACCTTTGAGGCCTGTTGAGCTGAACTATATATATATATATATATATATATATATATATATATATATATATATATATATATATATATATATATATATATATATGTATATATATATATATATATATATATATATATATAATTCTGTTAAATAAATATGATTTGATATGATAAATGATAGTTGCGTGTAGTTTCTGTATATTAATAAATTACAAAAAAAAAACTGTAGAAGCTGTTGTGAAATAATGTGACCAAAATAACTTCTAAATAATGATTAATTCTTAAAAAGAAAAAGACACACTCTTCCCTTTAAGATCTGACTTTCGACTGCCTGTATCATTTTCTTTTTATTATTGGTGCTTAATTTCGTCTTTCTATAATTACATAAAAATTTGGCTCATGGTGAAGGGCTCTTTTATGGGTAATTAAAATTCTTTCTTTTGTCAGCCTTTTCACCTCCACATAAATATTGTCCTATCTGATAGACAGTTATCTAGAGGATGGACATTTATTTACCCTTTTTTCACGTCAAATTGTGTTTCGGTTACTTATCTGTAAGATAAACATAAAATTTAGTCGGAACACAGCCATATTTAATTATGTGTCAAATAAATCACACTAATGTTTTAATATCTCTTCTTGATTATAAAATGTGGTGGCAGGAATAAATTAAATTATGAAAGAAAATTCAAATAATAAGGAATAAAAAAAAGATACATGTATATTAATGGTTCTTGTGAGGTTTCCCCATAACACTAAATTATTATATAAGGTTAGCTTAAACATCTTCAACTTCAGACAGTTCAATATCTTCGTTTGGTAGTTTATCTTCAAAAATTTTATTTTGATCTCTGGCTAGGTTATAGAATGTTGCTGAAAGTTGATTTTATCACAGATTTATTTTTTTACGAGAAAAAATATGCATATTTATATCTATAGTCACTAAATTTTCATTTTTAAAGATCTTATCAAGTTGAATTTTATCAAAAACCCGCTTATGAATCATAATAAAACTTTTGCCTGTAAGAATATTTGCTAGACTAATTTTTTTCTTCCTATTTTCAGAAAATCGACGGTGAAATCCGAACCCAAGTCGACGAAGCCACCAAACAGGCCAAATCTGATGGAGAACTTGGTCTCGACGAACTCCCAGCCGACATCTACGCCGTCAACTTGGAAGGCAAGATCAGAAACATCGACCCTTTCACTCACCTCACCCATAAACGACTAGGCCCTGCTGTTAATTTGAAGTAAAGCATTTTCGAAATCCGACAATTAGGAAAAACTAACAAATTTTAAAGGAATGTAGCTCAGTGATTATCGAAGCTGGAAAAAAGGTTGCTTTTGTTAAAAAATTGGTAATTTTAAACTAAGTCAAGAACCTGCAAGTCTCTGTGATAACACCATTTGTGTTTTGTACAATTTCTGTGTTTAATTTTTGCTGTTGGTTACATTAACAAGAATCAGTATCATATTTGCAAAGATAAATTTGCTGTTACCAGAAAATAGATACTTATATGATATTTTATCACTTATATACTTATAAAAATGGGTTATTTCATACACAATTAGAGGAAATTTAGTGATTGTGTCATAAAGCCATTCGCAGGAAGACTATTTTTATTCCAGTAGGTACATTCAATTCATCTACATTATTTTAAAAATCTTCAACGTTAAGAATACAAGTAATTATATTTTAATAGCATACTGGAAAAGAAGACAAATGACAAATCAGAGTGTTAAAAATATAGCATATGCAGCTACAACAAACTGTATGTCAAGTTTTTCGCACCAAAAAAAGTATGCAACATTCAATACAACTAAATATGTATTTTGTTTGTTTTAGGAAAATTATATTTCTGGCAAAAAAACAATTTATGTACAAAATAACCCATTAAAATGTTTATATATATATTCCTGTTTTTAAAAGAAAATTTATCATATGTATTTCTTATTTATTTAAATATGTTTTAATATCAAAAATATCTGTAAGTACCAAAAAAGTATTGTTCGTTTTTTTTACAGATATAAAAACTAGTTACATAATGAAGTACTTTAATCATTTTTTAATTTAATTTTAATTGCAAAAGTGATAAAATCTTGTCTTTCGACCTTCGTTTTGATATAATATGTGTTTGTTCTTGGCGCTTAAATTTGGCATAGACTTTTTGAAGTACTGTGTAGATTTGTGATATGGTGAGAACTTGAAATTAATTCGTCATTAATTTCGCAATCACTTCTGATATGATCAAAAGACATGCTTTCTACAAATTATGAAGGACATTTTGGTGCCATGGATCTTAAGACTTATTTTTACCAATTTTTTAGCCAAAAATAGCACTAGTAAGGGATTATTGTTGGTAATTTTCTTATAAATCCGTTGCAAATTATCCATTTTTGATGTCATTTTTGCACATTTTTCTATTGTGGATATTTTGAAATTTTGTCGATAAACTGTGTCAATATTACTCAAAACTTCGTTATATTAATAAAAATGTATGTGGCATCACTGTAAACAAATAAAATAATGCTTGTTATCTTCATGGAATTTCTAAGAAGTTGGTTGTACTGTGAGGATATAGAAGTCATGAATGGCGTGCAACGGATTTGAAAATAAAGAATCTAAATGTTATTTATTTTATTGGTTACGTATTGAATAGGTTCAAAAAATGTAGATAAAACTTTTCTATCCAAATTTGAAGCATTCAATGGATGGATTATAAAATAATATAATAAATAAAACGCGAAACAGATTGATCGAAAATTATATTGCTATAAATGTTTTTGAACCTCTCCAATATGCTATGTTCCGTTTAAAATGTTGTATAAAAAATCTCGTATATATATACAGTTTGTAACTGTCTTTAGGCCACGAAAATTTTGTAGAAAAGATCATTTTTCATTTTTTAAACATCTATTTTTCAACAGTCATACAAAGAAGTACTTATTACAAAACTAATAAGTGCTTTTTTAATTACAATATACTACATCCATCAATTTTCATTGATTATATATGTACATAAGTATATAAATAAATTATTATTTACAAATTTGAGGCTATTTGTGACCTGGGAATCGGTTTGGGCTTTTTTGGTTTTTTTATATCCAGCTCCGGGTTCCTTATCCTACGGGGAATAGCGAGGTTGAGCGAGTAGTGTATGCTTTGTAGAACAATCGGATCTGCGGAATTATCTACAAAAGAAAAAATTACATGAAATAAATAAAAAAAATAAACAGCGAAATAAAATTTTTTATTTACATCAGAGGTTCCCAACCAGTGTGCCGCGAAGATTTACCGCCTTATATTTACAGACTATTTTTCATTTAATCAAACTTCTGTTCTGCGTTTGTCTGCTGTTTCAATAGTTCAACACTCGACCAACAATGCGGTAGCAGCAGTATCATATACAGACGTGCGTTAGTTCAACATGTTACCGTTTGTGGCGATGGTGTTTGAAGACACTCACTCTAGAGATGAGCATCGTTGCAAAAACATCGATGGTTACCATCGATTAAACATCGGAACCCTTCCATTGATGGCAATGCAATATCAACACCATTGTTTATTTTTATTTATTTCAACCTACAACAAAACAGCATGGTCCTAAACATGCTGACAACGCTTACATCTAAAATTCAATAGCTTCATTAAAATAGCAGAGTGGAATGTCAATGGACTTCCACTTATCTAGGTATTTCTACTACACAACGAAATTGACATTCTGTTAAAAGTGAAAGCCATTTCACAAGTCAAACTTACCTCAAGCTATCCCACTACACAACCTATTCCTCAAACGATCCAGACAATACAACCCACGGTGGATCAGCTATTCTGATAAAAAAAATTACAAAGCACGCGGTGTTCGTGTGTAGCAAGGTATAAAAAATGTTTATTAAAAGCTTAAAAACTTTATTTTAAAGATCTTTTCGGAATTAAATCATTCCATCATCAGTTTAATTAAAAGTTATTAAAAAACATTGTTTGGCCACAGAAAATCACTAGAAGGGCATCAGCAACAAAAACAATCCTCATGGAATTTACAAGGTAAATGCAATAGACCGTTAACTTCGGTAATTAATAAAAACTACAACTGAGGGCATCTAACATGACCCCCAGGAGCTGGTGAAATGTTGTCAACTTACATTACCTCTGATCTGTGCTGGAGTCTAAGGCTAACTATAGAAAGATTATTATTATTACTATAACATAAGCGAGGGCAGATTATAACACATGACATGATGACAGTAAAATTCTCCTGTAAGTGATTCCATAGTAAATGAGGGAAAAACCAGGAAAAAAACCTCATAATACTATCCCGACATGGTAAGTATTTGTTCGTGCATTTAGTTTACCTTTAATAAACACCAAAATTCTGATTTTATATGTTTCGTTATTTAAAAAACATAAATGATGTATCCTCTATATGTTACTGACTTACTAATACTGGTATTTTCTTATTAATAACTTCCTCTTTCAATATTGGTAACCAGATCCTACTACATTCCGCCGAGGAATTTGCGACACAATTGGCCTCATTTAGCATAATTAGAGCCGCTTCTTTGATTTTTCTTTTTTTACCATCCGTTTCTTTTAGGACTACATTTGAATTATTCCATTGAACCCTATGTTCATTATCCCATGTGTGTTTACATATTTGAGATCTATCAAATTCTCTATTTTTAATATAAGATTGATGTTCACTTATTCTAACATTTAATGGCCTTGGTGTTTCACCTAAATAAAACTAATCGCATTCACAAGGTATTTTATAAATGCAATTCTTTGTCCTTTCTTGTTCATTGTTAGGTTTGGTTTTGGACAAAATAGATCTCAACGTGTTTGTTGTTTTGAATGTTGTTGAAATGTTGAATTTATTTCCTATCCTTTTAAGTTTTTCTGATAATCCTTTTATGTACGGTATTGTTATTTTCCCCGTATTATTCCTTGTGTATGCTGTAGGATCTCGTTCTAAGTTGTTTTGTTCTATTCGATCGATTGTTATTTATAAACGATAAAGGATAATAATTTTTTAATAAAACAGATGTTAACAAATGTTTCTCCTCCAAGAACGAATTTTCGTTAGAACAAGTAATTTTGGCTCTATTGTATAAGGATTTAATTATTCCCTTTTTTACATTAATATTGTGATTTGATTTGAAATGTAAATATCTATTGGTGTGTGTTGGTTTTCTATACACCTGAGTCTCATATCTAGTATCGTTCTTAGAGATTAAAACATCCAGGAAAGGTAGCGTGTTATTATATTCCTTTTCCATGGTAAATGTTATTGTCTCTCTTCTTTATCGTTTATATCATTTAGGAATGTGTCCAACAACTCTGATCCATGAGGCCATATTGAGAATACATCATACTGTGGGTTTTAAATTTTGTTTAGAAATGATATTTGTTTCAAAATCTTCCATAAATATATCGGCTAAGAATGGAGATAAACTAGAGCCCATTGCTAGACCAAAATTTTGTTTATAGAATTCATTATTTAGTTGAAAATATGTATTATCAGTACATAATGTTAATAACTCCATTATAGCCGATATGTTTAGTCTTGTTCTAGTTGCCAATGAATCATCACTCTCTAATTTTGTCTTGACTATACTTAAAGTCTTATTTAATGGCACATTCGTAAATAAACTATTTATGTCAAAACTTACCAAAGTATTATTTGAATTAAATTCAATATGTGATAATTTATTTAAAAAATGTTGTGTATTTTTTTATGAATGTGTCATTTTTATTTGTAAATAGTTTTAAAATATTTTTTTTTTTTTTTTTTTTTTATTATAACTAATAAATTAACAATCAGAATAAAACAATATATTCTATAAGTTAATGTGATGAGTTTAAGTCCTGTCCCTTGGTTCTGGCGTGATGTGGTCCCCTCCAGTGAGAGAATCACGGGTCCATGTTACTGGTCTGTTGGCCAACGTCGCTTTAGTCTTCGGATAACTTGATGTTGAGGTATTGCGGAAATTAATGGGTTGGAGTGTGTGTTCACTTTTTGAATGTATTGTAATTTCTTTTGCTGGTATACTTCTTTCACTGTTGAGATATTGAGATCCTCATAGATTCGTTGGTTGGTTACGTACCAGGGTGCATCAACAATTGCTCTTAAGATTTTTGATTGACATCTTTCCATAATAGCAATATTAGATTTACTACTACAGCCCCACAGCTCTATGCCATATGTCCATATTGGTTTAATAACTGTTTTGTAAATTAGAATTTTATTATTTATTGACAGTTTGGAGTTTTTTCCAATTAACCAATTGATTTCTTTTTGTCTTAGTTGTATTTGTTTTCTTTTTTTGGTGATGTGTTCTTTCCAACACAGGGTTTGGTCCAGGTGTAGCCCTAGGTATTTGGTTGTTTTAGTCCTGGGTATTTCCTCATTGTTGATATATATTGGTGGTGGTGTTTCTCGTCGTAAAGTGAAAGTTACGTGGGTTGACTTGTTTTCATTAATTTTTATTTTCCATTGTTTTAGCCAGTTTTCAAGCTCATACAAATAATCTTGGAGTTGTTGTGTAGCTATGTTAATGTGTTTGTGACTGGTAAGTGCTACTGTGTCATCTGCAAATGTGCCAATTGTTACGTTATGCGAAGTTGGTAGATCAGAAGTATATAATATATATAATAAAGGTCCCAGGACACTGCCCTGTGGAATTCCCGCCTTAATGGGATGCATTTTAGATATTTCTCCATTTACTTTTGTTCTAAACTGTCGGTTTTCCAAGTATGATGTAAGTATTCGAAAGAAGGGTGGTAATATTTGTTTAATTTTATAAAGAAGTCCTTTATGCCAAACCTTATCAAAAGCTTGACGTACATCTAGTGATACCATTGGGCAATATTCCTTTTCTTCTAATGCGGAATTGATTTTATGGGTTATTCGGTGGCATTGCTGGATAGTTGAGTGTTCTCGTCGAAATCCAAACTGAAAATTTGGTATCCAGTCTGCGCCTGTAAGGCCTGGATCTATTCTTTTTATTACAAGTTTTTCTAGTAATTTGGAGATTGTTGATAGCAGACTGATAGGTCGATAGGATGAGACTTCACTTGGATCCTTTCCTGGTTTTGGAAATAAAAGTATTTCTGCAATTTTTAGATTGTTAGGCCAATAATTACATCTTAATATTGCGTTAAATATATATGTAAGGATCACTATACCCTTTTTTGGTAATTCCTTTAGCATTTTTGGAGTTATTAGGTCAATTCCTGGTGACTTTTTGATATTTAGTTTTAAGATTTCTTCTTTAAGTTCTTTGGGTGTTGTTAATTTTATTGGATTTACTGACGGTTGTTCTGAGTTTAAATAATTAATAATTTCTTGATCTTCTTCATTGTTGTGTGGTTGGAATACTGTTGCTAAATGTTCAGCAAATAATTCGGATTTTTCTTTATCGCTTCTTGCCCATTGGTTCTGTGTGTTTGTGGTTTTTCTTACTGGTGGCGATATTGCTTGAGGTTTTAAGGATGATTTGATTGGTTTCCATATTGAATGGTCGTATCTATTAAGTTGTGTTACATATTTTTTGACTGACTCTTCTCTTGCAATTTTTAGTTGTGTTTTTAATTTATTGGCTAAGCGATTGTAAAACGTTTTATCCGCTGGGTTCCGACTTTGTTGCCATTTGGCTCTTGCTCTTCTTTTTTCAGCAATGAGCTTTTTAATTTCTAGTGGAATATTTATTCTATTCTCGATTTTATTTTTATCTGCATCGTTCGGTGTCGCTTCTTTTGCAGCGTTTTGTAATAATGTCATAAAGTTGTTTGTAGCTGCTTCTATTTCTGAAGGGCTTCTTAGTCTTACATTTAGTTTAATGTTTTCATCCAGTATTTTTCGGTAAACGTTCCAATCTGTTCTAGGTCCATGCAGTTTTGGAGTAGGTTGTTTGTTAATAACGCAGGTGCTAATTGTTGCAATAATTGGTGAATGATCTGAATATAGATCATAGCTTGGAACTATGTCCATAAAGGTGTTAGATATTCCTTTTATGATGCAAAAATCTAAGAGGTCTGGTCTTTTTTTGGGGTCCGTTGGCCAGTACGTTGGTGTTCCTGTTGATAAATATGAGTATTTATTTTCTTGCATTAAGCTATAAAGCTCTCTCCCCTTTGTTGTTATTAATCTTGATCCCCAGTACGTGTGTTTACTATTGAAGTCACCAGCTGCGATAAATTTTGGACCTAGAGTATTGAAGAAGGATGCGAAATCGGTTTTTTTAATATTGTGCTTTGGAGGGCAATACACTGCTGCTATTGTTATTTCGTAAGGTAATGAGCACACTTTAATTACTGTAGCTTGGATACAGTCTGTTATATAACTTTCCATCATGAAATGTTTAATTGATTGTTTGATCAAAATTGCTGTACCTCCATGGGCTGTCTTGTCTGGATGGTTAGTATGGTACGTTAGATATTGAGGTATTTTAAAATACGATTTGTCTGTAAAATGTGTCTCACTTATTAATAATACATCTATAAAATTTTGTTGTAGAAATATTATCACCTCGTCCTTATGATTCAGCAGGCCATTGGCGTTCCATTCTGCTATTCGTAGAAAGAATTTTATTTGCATATGAGTTTACTTAGCATGTTTATTACCATGCTGTTTTGTTGCAAGATTTGATTAAACATGGCTTTGAATTCTTCTAAAAACTTCATAAGAATGGTGTTTGAATCTTGGTTATCTGAAGGAGCAGCAGGAGGTTGTCTATTACCCGCTGCATTAGCATAGCTTACATTTGGTCTTACTGTGTTGGGTATAAAGTTTCTGTTACGTGCTTGCGACATATTTTGGTGATGATTATATGTAGTTTGTGCTATATTTTTATTTCTATTTAAATTACGATAATATTCGCATCCTTTATAGTTAGCTGGGTGATCTCCTCCACATAAAGCACATGTAGCTGGTGTGTTCTTGTTCTTTTTACAACTGCTTGTACTGTGCTGTCCTCCACATTTCACACAGACATATGGTCTATTGCAATATGTTTTTGAATGGCCATATAATTGACATCTCATACATTGGATGATATTTTTGTTTTTTATAGGTGGTTCAATTTGTATATTGCAGTGTTGTAGTTTCTGAATTTTATAAATATCTTGGTTATTGTCTGATGGTTCAAGGTCAACAAAGAACATATTTATCGGCTCTTTTGTAATCCTATGTTTAGCATTAATGATGTTTCTTACCTTGTGACCCAGTTTTGTCAGTTCTTCTTTGATGTCTTCTGTTGCATGTGAATAGTGAAGGTATTTAATTACGACTCTATAGGCCCTTTCTTCCTTTGGTTGATATGTGTGATGAATAATGTTGTTCTCTCTCATATATCTGGAGAATTTTCTGTATATTTCTGGATCGCTACAAATTATTTTGACTGTATTATTTGCCATAGTTCTGGTTTCGTATTGTTCAGCTTCAGCTATTTCTGTAAATTTTTTCCTCATTTCTGGGAAGTCGCTTACATCGTAAACAAATATTGGTGGTGGTTTAGGTATTCTTGGCGCTGTTTCATTTTGATTGGTTTCATTTTCTTGGGTATCCGTTAGGGTATTATATTTGTTCGATAGTGTAATGGTATCATCTTCTTTGTCTGTTTCTACATTTGGTCTGATTTTTCTGCGTTTTGTAGTTTTAACTACTTGCCATGAGTTATTTGTTGACACATTTGCACTTTCTGGTTCGTCATCGCTTGTTGATGACATTCTGTAGTATTGCTGGCTATTTCTGTTATTTATATTGCTGTTGTGTGCCGCGTTTTGTTGATTTATATATTGTTCTTGATTGGGCGGAAATATCATATTCGTCGAAGAATTAGTGGTTGGTTGATTTATTTGCATATTGTACATACCTGGTATTTGTGATGAGATTTGTGGATAACCCTGTATATTGTTGATTTGTGATTGACCCTGTGTGTTGTTTGGAATCTGCATTTGTGGGTAACAATTCATTTGGTTTGATGGATACTGGATTGGTAATGGCTGGCTGTTTACATTTTGTATTTGTTGGCTAACTATGTAGTTGTCGAATCCTGGTCCATTTCCGGTTGGAAACATTATAAATAAATTACTGTATTGTTTTTAAATTTAATTTGATGAGTTTATTATTTTTAAGTCTATTACTAATTGATTGCTTTTTAATCACTTCACATTTATCTGTTCAAATCGAGAAAACCGGTCGAATGTTGATAACAGAGAACCATTTAACGTCCGCTCGGTATGGAGTATCGATGTGAACTTTTAAAATATTTAATAAAAATTTTGATAGTTCACTACAAGGAGAATTCATGGTACTACAAATGGGTCTAAGTGGTATATTCGTTTTATGAATTTTCGGTACTCCATAAAAATGATGAGTCTTACAATGAGTTGTAATTAATCCTCTCTGATAACTTGTTAAAACATCTTTAAACTTGAATAAAGTTCTATATATTTTGTTTTCCAAAGGCTTTGTTGGATCTTTTGTTAATTTTGTATAAGGTCCGTTTATTATTAGATCTTTAATTTTGTTTTCGTATTGAATTTTATCCATTATCACAGTTGCATTCCCCTTGTCTGCTGCTAGGATGATTATGGAGTCATCATTTTTTAAAGTTCTTGTAGCCTTTAGTTCCTCTTTGCTTATGTTTTGTTCAATTTTAGTAGATTTTTCCAATTCAAGTTTACATAACACTCTGCACTCTGTATTCTTCCTTTTTGGTGGGTTGGTAAGCATTGAGATATTTTCTCCAGTGAGCTTATTATGTCTAATTTTGGATCGGATGGCTGAGTAATAGCAAAGTTTAGACCCTTTGACAGTATTAAATTCTCCGTTGCATTTAAATGTCTATTTGATAGACTGACAACTGTCGCTAATATGTCATCATTTCTATTGAGGTTATCTAAAGTGTGTATACTGTTTTGTTCTAAAAGAATATTAAATTTATTTAAATGTATATTTCTTTGTTTTCTATATGAATTTTCATATACTATATGTAAACTAAAAATAATTTGATCAAAATCAGAATTTGATATCACATTGAAATGCAAATTTTCAATACTTACAATATCTTAATCAACAAAAAATAAATTTGATCTATGATATTGTAATCTTTCTCGGATCATGGACAAACTGGCTCTTTGTAGAATGTTTTCCAAATTTCTGCTTGAATATCCTCGACGTAACTTCAAGCCCTTCGGTATTAGGCTGTTGTCTCTACATCTTCGTAAAAATTTGATTGAATTTTGACAATGTGCCAGTTTCTTGTATAGAATTTCCAATCTCCGGAAATTTTCAATAACGCTGGGCCCATAACGGTTTCTTAATATTGTTCTGAAGCTATTTTTTGTGGAATTTTAAATTAATTACTATTTAACTGGGAATAAGCCACAATTAAAGATAAAAATACGTTTATTCTTCCAACATAAAGTTTGTGAAATCACGCTTACTCCACTTAATCTCTGAACCCACAGAAAAACGTAGCAATATATTACAGCAAGCAGTTAAAATGGTAATAAAAGCCGAAACAGTAATATAATGGAATAAAATAAAAGTAGAAATAAATACTTCAAGATAAATACCATTTTAACTATAGTTATCTCAATTTGGACACAAAAACTGTATATGGACACATCCACTTGTATATAAAGAAAAATTAACTCATTATATGCACGACTCACCTTCCAAGAGTCCTTCGAACCACAGCTTCATCTCTACAAGACACTTTTTGTCAAATTCCATTCCACTGTTGAAATATTTCAATAATTTACCAACTAATATTATGTTTGCTGCCTTAAAATTTGAATTTTCTGGCGGTATCTTGTAAATCAACGGTTTGAACAATTCATTCAATTTCTTATATGTCCAAGGTTTGTCCTTGTGCTTGAGGTACATTCTTATAGCATACTCGGTGGACTCACAAGGTTTTTCTAAAAATAATGAAAATATTTTATTGAAATACGGTTCTCTACACTAAACTGGGAGGATGATTGTGTATGAGGATGCAAGAAATCTTCTTGGCAATCGATTGTGGAGGAGAATGACCATACCACTATAGACCATGGCGAATAATGAGGTTAACTGAGGCAGGACTTGAATTGGACTTTAGAGCAATAGGATGAGTGGATGGTTATCTACACATACTTACCTAAATAGTGCTGATAAATTTCTTGGAAAAACTCGTCACAGTCCCTTCTTTCTTTGGGATAGCCGTAGTATTTATCCAGTAAATCTCTTAAAGCATAACTGTTGCATTCTGGTTTTTTTCCTTTCATTACATACACTAACTGAACTAGTACCTTCGCCATGGGATATACTAAAAACAGACAGTAAAATTTATAAATTTAAAAGTAACTCAATTTCACAATAAACCTGTATACAGTAGATATATACTAACTTACCATCAACCTCAGAGTATAGAGGTATAACATCGGCCCATGAAGTTAAAACGGTAAAAAAAATTGGTATGGCAACCTCGCCCGCATAGTAGAAGGCTTCACAGCAAAAGGTACGCATCATGTTAATATCTGCCCTAAGACGACATAATCCCATGAATAATCGGGTCAATGGAATGCCCACTTTCACAGATATATCTAAAAATACTACAATTATTAAAAATAGATTATAAGACAAATTTGAGTTGAACCGAGGTCAAATAAAGGTTAGCACGAAGGAAATGATAGAAAGGAGGAAGCAGTCAGTCAATCATCATATTATGATCGATGATCATATTGATATTTTTGCAGCATTGGAATAAAAACATTTCAGAGGATAATAGAAACAAAATTTCGTTTTTGGTGACCCGTTCAAGGTCGCGGTTTAACTCAACTTTATCATTATTATAAATTACTTATGATAAATCTTCCAAGTAATATTTTTGGACATCACAAAAAATTCATAGAAAAGTCAAAAGATTTGAATAAATACAAATAATTAAAGTTCTCGGATTATAAATGTTGACAATTTACACATTTATACAATAAAGAATTATGGAGCTTACAGAATGTCAAAATATGAGACGATTAGTACTTACCATTTCTACATACATAATATTGGATTCTACAATAGAACCTTTCAATAATGTTCATCCTTTTCTGTTCCAGTTGAATCAATAAACGCAGGAATTTCCGCTGTGTTGGTGTCATAAGTGGTGCCGGATAACAGTCTTCGGGCTTGTCTTTATCTCTTGAGAGTTGGTAAATGATTATGCTAAAACATGACAAAACAGTTTCAGTCTGAAATAATCTTGCAGATTATAGACAATTTTTACTCTTATTATTGAAATACATTAGAGAAATTCCTTGGCATACTTACTCTATGATATAATCAACATTCAATCTCGCGAATTCAACGATAATGTTTTCTGGTAGGGTTTCATCGCTGGGAAGGCCCAAAAATTTCTTCAGCAAAAACCCAATCTTGTCTAAAAAATAAAAAACGAACTCTCAGTGATTTATATTTTGAAAATACAATGGTTGATTCTGGAATTTTTATGATGTTCACATTTAAAAGTGTGAGGCTTTTCTTTAGAAAAATATACAATTTAAGTAAACTTTCTTTTACTACTAATAATTGGCATAAAAAAATTGCGATGATGAAGTTTAACCTAAAGATTTAATTAAATGAATGCTTACCTGATACTTTCGCCCCCCTCTTCAATAATCCTAATTTTTTGAAGCTTCTAGTACCGTAAATATTCGGCATATTGATATCTCTGTTGTAAATGGTTTCTGCTATATCCAGCAATCCTCTCCTCCATTCCTTTTCGTTGATACTTTTAGGAGTTGATACCCTTTTAGACATAATCACAGTTTTATGGGACCTAATTTTGTCCATTTGGCTTATAATCGAAGATAATACATCACAATTACTTTGCTGTGGAGCAAAAGGCTCTGGTTTTAACCGGTTAGAATCATGATCTGAAACTGAGCTTTTGGATTGCAGTAGATCAATGGGAGAACTTGCATTTGAAGGTATGAGTACATTTTGGACAATTTTAATTTTCTTATTGCTAATTTCTGTTTCCATTTCTTCTGGTTGGTTTGAAATCTCTAAATTATTATCACAGATATTTGTTGCTGGTTGTCGAAACATAACTTGTGTTTGTTTCATTTGTCTCTTTACACTAGACTGAAGTTTTGTCAACTTTTTAGCTAGTTTTGGTTTCTTTGCCGGATCTGGCACTTGATTGACTTGTTCACTACAACTTGTTTCATCTATTTTGTTTACTAACATTTTTTCATTACTTTCACTTTCATTTTTAGCTTCCAATTCATGTCTATTTTTTTCTTCTGATTCAGCTACAGATGATATTTTTGTGGATTTACCTAGGTTGTCACAAGTACCATCATAGTAATCAGGGTATTTTTTAACTTTTATCACCCGTCCATATTTGCTCCTAATACATGGTTGATTATTCTTTACATCACCTTCACTACATTTACTATCATTATTAGGAGTTTCGTTTTTCATCCCATTTATTAAACCATCAATTTTCTCCAGTGGTATAATTTTTGGATACACAGTTTCATGTTGCAACAGCTCTACTTGGTCAGGTGATTCAGGACAGTTTACTACTGGAGATACTGGAGAAGAGACAGGTGAAGACAATCCGTATGTGACTTTAGGTATTGGTGGAGAGATACTTCCACTAGGATTACAAAACAATTCACATTTTCTTGCAGTAAGAGGTAATGGAGAACACATTGGCATTTCAGTTTCAAGAGAAGAACTATCTCGCACACAAGAAGCAGCAGCTGATACATACTGATTATTTGATGGACAAACATTTATAAAAGGCTTAGTAGACACAGCAGGATTGCATTTGGTTGCAAGTATTGCAAGCCCTGCTGGAATGTGAACAGAAGTTGTTGAATCAGAAGTAATTTGAGTCAAATTTTTATTTGGTGGTTGTTGTGACACGAGAGATCTTTCTAAATTAGCTGATTCAAAATATTTTGTTAAATTTTTAATACTTTTAGTTTGAGGAGGTGGAACTGGTGCAGAACAATTGGTTGGGGATCGAAACTGTGATGTTCTTTTTCTATTGGGTGGAGATTTAGTGAAACCCTGATTACAAGGATTTTCAACAACATTTGTGGAATTATTCAAGTCACTAAAGCTTTTATCAGATTCGAATTGTTGTAAAAATGAATCTATCTCCGACCCCAACATTTGTTCATGTTGTAAAACATAATTTATGCATTTGGAAGTTGGAGATATGGTCGAATCTGACATAATACTCTCTCCTGTGTTCGAAAGAATTTCTATACATTTTTTTAAAGGAGACCTTTGCTTTGAAGATATACTTTCATTATTTAAATCAATATTCTTAACTTGATCAGTCTCATTTTTAATTTCTTCTTCATCAACTTCATCTTTAAGTGCACTATTTGGACTTAGTGGACTGATACATGCTGGTGCTATCCTATAGATATCTAAAATATTTGAAGGGGACATCATATAAACGGAATTATTGTCTATTTTGGGGCTTGGTGTTCTAGAAATAGTTATAGTAGTTTCATTTTCGTCTCTTTCTTCATTTTCTTCGAATGAAAAAGACAAATTCAAATCAAGTTTATGATTAAAATCTCTTAAATTTTGTATCAGGCATCTATCTTGGCCTTCATCATCAGACAAGTCGATACAATTTGAAGCTTCCCTCGGAACATGACTCAGTTCCACATTATACTCTTCATCCGTAGGAAGAGGCAGTTGGAAATGGTTATCCAATTCATCAGAATAAATTTTAGGTGAATATTTTTTGCTAAAATCATCTTTAACAGGGTTACAACATATTTGATCATTATCATTTGAGTCTATGGCTGAAGGTAACACATATGTTTCCAATATTTGTATTTTTGGTTCATTTATTACTAAATCTAAGGCTTTTTCTTGATTATCAGAATCATTTTTTGTAGAAATACTTTTTGATTTTTCGACAAGATCCACAGTAATTATTTTTTGACTTTGTAATTTAGCAGAGGGTTCTTTAGATAAACAACCAGAGTCTATACCTGAAGGTAACACAGATGTTTCCAATAGTTTTACTTTTGGTTCATTTATTACTAAATCTAAGGCTTTTTCTTCATTATAAGAAGCATTTTTTATAGATACAATATTTTTTGATTTTTCAACAAGATCCACAGCATCTATTTGTTCACTTTTTAATTTATCAGGTGGTTCTTTAGATAAATAGGCACCTTCTATAATATCCTGATGATCTTGTGTATAAACATTTAAAAGGGTATTTTTTGTAGTATCATTAGTTGCATTATTAAAGTTAACAGTGCAAGTTATTCCATTAACACCATCATTCAGTCCTATTTCTTCTTCCAAAGCAATCTCAGATAGTTTGTTCATGTCTAAACTGTCATTATTTTCAGTAGTAAAGCTTTGGCAAACTTTTGTTTCTATTATAGTGGGATTTTGAGGTTTGTTGACACAGCTCTCTTTAACAGAAACTGATTTTATGTCTGTTTCTTTATTAGTTTGTACATCTAGTTCTAAAAATGTTTCTACAGTTGCTATTTTATCATCATTTTCATTTCTTTGATCTGACAAATCTTGAATGCTCATTTTTGTAATATCAGTAGTTTTAGGTTCCTTTGCATTATATTCACAAATTGGGGCCTCAGTAGTATCTATAATTTTTTCACAATTATAATCTACCATATGTTTATTTATAAAATTGGCAGATTCTGTTTGAATTGGAAGGCATGTATTGACACCATTATCAGAACTCACTGAATATGAAATACTCCTATTGTTTTCAACTAAAGGAGCATCTGTAGAGGAAGTTATTTCTGCTGAGATATTTCTTGGAATCAGCTCCTCATTTGATAGTTTTAAATCAATAATGTTAATGTCAGATTCTATTACTCCATTTGTATCCAATACAGAATTACTAAATAAACTTCGTAACTCTGCTTCTGACTCTGATAGGTATTCTGAGTTACATTCCATGGAAGGCCAATGTGTCTTATTCTTTTTGAGTTTCTCGCTCACTAGTTCTGCCAGCTTATCCAAGACAACATCTGGGGAACAATTAGGGAGCAGGGTATTTGTTAAGTCTGTAATAGAATTGTGTTGTTTAGATTCTATTGATATTTTTTCATTGCAATGGGTTGTATTTTTGTTGGATTCAAAGAATCCCAACAAACTGCCATCTTCAACTAACATACAACTTTGTCTACAACCGACTTGTGCACAAGTGAGATATTCAACATTTCGGGTTGTTATTTTAAGTTGTTGACACACCTTTTTAATTGACTTATTGTGAACTGAAGAAAATATTTCTTCATTGGAAATAATAAAGTTAATGTTGGATTGTTTTAAAACTTTTAAAGCTCTTAGCACTGGATCACGATTTACTAGCTTCTTTTTTCTCCTTAGGAAGTGTGTCATTTTGGAAATAGTTTTCCTTCTTTGTTTTAAATATCTTGCCTTTTTAAATCGTTGTTTATTTTTTATTTTAAAGTCTTCAAAACTGTTGACATCAGATTTATTGCTAAAGTAATCTTTGCTAATGTCACTAAGAGGGGTGATTGGTGTACAGAAAGATGAAATTCCTGAATCTACTATCATATAATCTTCATCATCCTCGATGTTATGGGAAACTGCAATACCATTCTCATATGTGGAATTATTTAAATGTATATCATCATTCCCTTTAAGTACAAGAGAATTATTTTCTTTTATTTCTTCCATAGAAACATTTGCAGATATATGAGATGCATTTTCTATATTATCTAAACAGTATTCAATTTCAGGTGAATTAGATCTTAACGGTGATAACAATGTTGTATAATTTATCATTTCTTTAAATATATCACATAAAAACATATCAGATTCACCAAATTCTAAATTATTACTGAAAAATGGTTCTGAAATTTGATCAGTTTGCAAACCAACACTTACAACTGATTTGGGAATATATTTGGATATACTTTCTTGTTTCAACTGTTCTTTTTCAAATGTGAGAAGTTTAACTAAATCCTTTAGAGCTGTTACATCAGATACTTGATATTCTAACTGATTTATTCTCATATCCTTAAAATGGCAAATTTCAGCATGCTTCTTGAGTTGTTCCTTTTGCTAAAATTACACACAGTATTTAGTATAACAAAAAATGAATGTGTAGATATAAAAAACATACTAGTCTACATATTTATTTTATATATAATATTTAAAATTGTATTTATTTCATGTGATTTTTGAATGTACCATTTCTTTTCTACTGTATACATCAATTACATATTTATATTTTATTCTACAAATACAAATGGTCAAATGTTTTTTAACTACTACTATCTAAACTAAAAAATTATTTAAAAACTTACCTCACTTTGTGTATGATATAAACTACTACTTATTTCATCTTTCTCCCTCTGTAAGACCTGTATATTTTTATCATATTCTTCTTTATTACGACTTATTTGTTGTTGTAGACTTAAAATATCTTTTTTCAACCTTAAGTTATCTTTACTAATCTGTTCCTCAGTCTCCTCGTGTTCTTCTATCTTTTTCGTTAATTCCTGGATGGTAATATCGGCATTTGATGAATTATGCGATAGTTCTTTCAACAATGCGAGTTCAACTTGCATATCTTGTATAGTTGTTTGAGATGAAATTAATTTTTCACCATATTTTTTTTGTAGATTTACCATCTGATCCATAACTTCATTATATTTGCTTTCTAAATCATTGTACTTGGATTGTAATGTTTTTTGTGAATACTCACTTCTTTCTTGCTCCAGTTGTGATCTTTCTAATTGAGATTTCAATTCTTTACTTGTCTGTACGTTCTTTTTAAGTTTACAATTAATTTCTATATACTTATTCAACAATTCACTAAAACAAAAAAAAATAAGAGTAATCTTACTTTTCAGGTCTATGTTTACAATATTTTTTAACATCTTTAGCCGTACAGCTGAGTTTTTATTACTAAGTTATATTATAAAATTGTTAAAAAACTTACTCTGTTTTAATAATTTTCTGTTTAACAACACTAAAATCCAATAGTTGACTCTCCATGGCTTATATGTCGGCTTCGATAAATAGTAAAGATAGGAATTACTGGTAAAAAATTAAAGTTTCATAGAATGCTTGTACAAAGCAGAATATACAATTTGCGCTATTAAATACGTTAAATTACTAGTTATTAATTACATACAAATAAAAAATTAATACAAAACTATAACCTCACAATATATACACGCTACAAAACGTTTGATCACGGCACGGCACGGTATCACAGAACAGGAACACGGCACAGAATAGTAGCAAATGTTGACGTTCATGGACATTATCGGAACATGTTTTTACGAAGTTAGTTACTTTTTGACAGACTAGAAGTGGCTGGAAATTACTATACAACCAAGCACACGTGCTCATAGCGCATTTCATTAGAATATTTGGTCGACCTCTTTTGCAAACTTATACCCTGATTTAGAAATTTATAGCAGGTATAAAGAAAGTAAGTTTCTATTATATATGAAAATATATTTTATAAAAAAAGTTTCGGTGATTTAGTTTATACCGTTAGGTTGCGCCAAATGTAGGCAACCAACTTAACATTTTGGTTAGCATTTAGCTGGAGTTTCTTGAGAATATATTGAACAAATATTTAATATTTTCCAGTTAATTTATTATTTTTTTAAAAGTAATAATAATGTGGAATAAGGATTATTTCAAATGATGTATAATTAGAAGACGTACTTAATATTGTGTTATATAATCTTCATAATAAAGTACGTTAAATAAAAAATATCATAATATTCATATTACTATTCAAAAATATAAAAAATTTAATCCAATATCATCAAAAATATAATTCAAACATATCATAATATTATTCCTATTATTCCTATCAGAAGCTAGTTTTGGACGGCCTGGGATTTTACCTTTTTATCTAACGTAGTTTATTATGGGGATTAAATAATACAATATTAAGTACGTTTTGTGATTAAATATCATTTGAAATGTCACTTTTAAAAAATAATAAATTAACTGGAAAATATTAAACGTTTATTAAAAATATTCTTAGAAAACTCCAGCTAAATGCTAACAAAAATTAAAGTTGGTTGCCTACATTTGGAGTAACTTAACGATATAAACTAAATTCATCATCATCATCAGTGGTGCTACAGCTCTAGTTGAGCCTTGACCTTCCCCAATCTATTTCGCCAGTCGTTTCTGTTCATCGCTAACCGTTGCCAATTTGCCGCGCCGATTTTCCTTGCGTCCTCGTCCACACCGTCCCTCCATCTCAGTCGTGGTCTGCCTCTACTCCTATTTCCCACTGGGACCGATAATAGAGTTCGTCTGGGTGGGTAATTTTCATTTGCTCTTGACACATGTCCAGCCCATCTAAGCCTACCTATTTTTATGAAGGATATTACATCTCTACCATTTACTATTTTTTTATACTTCTCGTACAATTCGAAATTATATCGCCTTCTCCAAATACCATTCTCACAGAATGCGCCCATTATTCTTCTTAGTATCTTCCTTTCGAAGACGAGCAGAAGATTTGCGTCTGTTTTGGAGATGGTCCATGTTTCTGACCCATATGTCAGCACTGGTAGGATGAGTGTTCGATATATTATTAGTTTGGTTTTCTGGCTTAAATTTCTGTTTTTTAGCTGCTTGCTTAGTCCAAAATAACATTTGTTTGCTAGCAGTACCCTCCGTTTAACTTCTTCAGATGTGTCATTATCGTTTGTTATGAGAGAACCCAAATATGTAAACTTATTTACTACCTCAAAATTATATTGGTCTATACTGAAGTTTTGTTCGGCGTTTCTAGCTTGTAGCGTTTTTTTATTTAAAGTGTATAGAAAAGATTTCTGTGTTACGCTCCTGTTGTTTTTACCAAAGAAAACAATCGAAATAATATTTCAAGTTTTTTTGACGAGATTTTTAAATGCGTATTAACGCTGGAAATATGTTTTTATCTCTGTGTTGCAATGTTAGGTGAAACAACATGTTTTTTGTCGCTAAAGAGGGATTATGGTACATGAAGTTCCCCTAATATTCCGGTTAGAATAATCAATAATGCGTATATTTCTACCGATTCAAAAGTAAATATAGATGTTTTTTTGTCAGTGTTTAGATTCAAATATCGAACCTTTTGTTATAAGCCAGGTAAAACTCAAGTTTAAAATACGCACGTATTTTGTTAATTTGTATTATGTAAATTTATGATGCCCCCTGATAAAAAAAAGGTTTTATTTGTTTTCTATGTTAAAACGCAATAAACCATGAATTCCCCTAATATTAAAGTTGTTTTTCGTTATTAGTCGAGGGTCAAAAAAAGAATATTTGTTTGTTTAGGCAATAAAGGAATATTTAAAAGGTTTTTTTTTCGATACGAGCGAGGGGATATTGTTTTGGTTCTTGAGTTTGTGGGGACAGGTTAGCTGCAAGACGGAAGGGAAATTTTTGGCTAGTTTCTTGTAAAATGTAACGAAGCAAGGAAGACGACTTTTGAGTTCCAAACGGGGCAGACATGGACAATTGAGACCAAGATTTGATTTGAAAAGGAGTCGACATTTAGATTCCAAGCGGGGCAGACATGTGATAAAGAGTCGAGATAGAGATGCCAAACAGGGCAAACATGTGAGAATAGGTCGACGAGATTAAAAAGAGCAACGAGGTAGGCAGGTGATGTAAGGCAGCTCGAGTTGAAAGGACTTGGGCATTTTTCATAAACAGCCGGTAATTTTGTGTAATGGGTTAATTAATCAGACCTGTAAACAGTGGACTCTCCGTAAACATGACGGATTAGCATAGAGAAACCACTAAAAGGATTTATGCAGTATACCAGAACATGGTAAAATTTTAAAGCAGTACATAGGGTGTGCCACCAGCTTCGTGTGTCATCTGTTTGCCCCAACCTCGTTCCTGAGTATAGAAATGTTTCCTATGTCCCAGTTAGAGGATTTGTACAAGTAGCTTCCAGTCAGAGATGTAACAAGTTTTTTTTTAAGTTGAGTGACGAAATATGTAAATTTTAAGGTAACAATTCAATATATTAATTTTCAAAGTAAAGACAGATATTTTTTGGCTAAAGTAATAATTGCTTTCATTCTTTGTCATCAAAATTAAATGTGATACCTGACAGCAAGTTTAATTTGTTTTTTTTTGTTATGACAATTTTAATTTGATAATTATGTAGAAACGATATTTCATATATAAGTTTAAATTTATATGTTTTCATTAAGAAGGATCCTTAATTTTTGATAATCTAATTGGCCATAATATAGTAAACAAAGAACATGTAAGTTTTTGTTATTTGTATTATGTTATATGATATGTTTCTTTTATAATATGTATTTTTGATCTGTTTTGTTTGAGACAAAAATAAATGTTTAATTTGTTTCTCTGATCTGTTTTGAGTTTTATTTGAAAAAGATATTTTTTTCTATATTTTTGATGTTATACAATTATTTCCCTAGTTACAACTAGTGGTTGTAATAGGTATAATTGGGCACCTCAAGTGGCGCCCTATATTAAATTTCTTGAGGTGTTTTCGTTTATTTTCATTCTGTTTGTCCCAAGAGATTTGTATAAGTACCCCTTTATTTCTTTTCTTTGTAGTTGCCCCAATCTAACCCCCAATATCTTCAACTTATCCACGACCCAGCTCTCCAACAACCAACTGAGTGTCCGTATGCACTTGTTTCGATTATTTTGTTTGCCCAATCTTGTCCCCCATATTCTTACCCTGTGGTAAGCAAAATAGTCGTTACAATTTTGTCGCCCAACGTGTGTGGCCTGTATTAGATTTGCGCCATTTGTACCTTTGATACAATTTTGGCTCCCAACGTGCGAGGCTTTTGAATATTCCTTAATTTTTAGATTTTTGACCATTTTCCTGAAGCCACATATCTTTTTCAGTTTCCCCAGTTCCCTGCCATTTATATGAAACTTTTTTCCTTTTGAATAGTGCCCCAAAGTGTCTCACAAACAGTAGTGTATTTGTATTACAATGTATGTATTTTGTACCAACATTATGTATTGTTGTTTTTTCAGGTAATGTACTTATAGTGACATATGTATTGTTCTTCATATATGTAATGGTAAATGAAAGCAAATATTTGAGTTAAATATTTAAAAATGAGTTTTAATTGAAGTATTGATATTGAAAAGAATTTTTAAAAACAGTAGCAAATTATACAGTTACTGTTACATTTATTTTTTTATTGATTTGACAAATCTTACAGAATAATCGGTTTTTGTAATTTTTTATTTGTTCCGTCAATTTTGAGTAAATGTGTGTATTCGTTTGAGTGACTTTTGAGCTATGTAGTTGAGAAGTAGTATTATGCAATTTGTCTTCTAATTAACCGTCTCTGAAGGTGTATTTAAATGCCAAGGGTTAATTAATGTTGTTGTACGAGTAGTCATTGTGAGTCGTAGAGAAGATTCTACAAGTTTAGTCTCAGTAGTAGACTGTTTGTTTATTGCGTATCCTTTCTTGTATCTGAATGACCACAGGTGTAATATTTGTGATCAGGAGATGCTGTTTTAGTTTTGACTAGGAGCAGTCTCATTTAGTTTTCGGAACAAGAGTTGGTTTATTTTGGTATTATTTAGTGTAGCTCACTCAAAGGTCAAGTTTTCAATATTATTAGTATTTTGTCTTTCCCTGTATGTACGGTTTAATTTGTTTGTTAGTGTCCATGTTGTCCCATGTTGTTTGAAACCATTTTTTTTAGTCCTTGTTAGTGGAAGTGTGAACTTTTAGGAGACAGGTTATAGACCTCATTTTTATTTACCAACTGATTACTAGGTCAAGAGCAGAAGTTGCAGCAAACTGATTGAGTTTTGGATTTCAGTACGCGGGAGTGCAAGTGAGACTTACTATCAGGTGATAAATGGAAACGGTTGTTTCTTAAAATTGTCATATTTTCTACTTGTTGTTGAGGTTGATTTCAGTTATTTTGTGTGTTTGCTCTCATCCAATTTTTGAAAAATGAAGTCTACCCAGGTTAATTATTTGAAATCAGGAGAGTTATCTTATGAGCTTTTCATAAGAGGTAAAAATGTCCCAAATAAGACAGTTGATGATAAGAGAAAGATGTTAAGAGCTTTGTTGGCCAAGGAGGCCACTTTGTCTTCAAGTTTAGTCGATTTGGTTAATAATGTAGTAGATCCTAAAGAAGAGTTGAATGAGATCATGTTGATTATAAAAGATTTATATAGTTGTGCTCAATCAATAAATGTAGAATCA